CTCTTGTGAGGCCATACATAAGAATAAAATTCTCCAAAATTTAGATGATTCCGCTTGTTCCGAAATTACTTTTTTCTTGGATGTCGCGCCTATTTGGCGAAACTATTGCGTCGAAGTGCGAGACGCGAGATGCTACGAGGCGATTCGCTTTCGTTGTTCTTTTGCTGGCACCCGGAACCTCGAGCGGCCGGCCGGCCGGCCGGCCGGCTGGCCGGCTTACGTAACTCCACGGCGCCGGCGGGCGGCGAGCATCGTGATCCTTCTTCTTTAACTTTGCGCCGTCTCGAGACGTCTCAAGCCTCGTCGCGGCCAACTGCGTCGCAAATGCGAGCGAGCTGCCGAATCCCGAAATCCCGCCGGCCGAGTTTCATCGGGTTCCTCCGCTCGGCTCCGTATAACGAACGCAAAACTAGCGATATGAACATTTCGTTAATAAGCGAGGAGGGCGAGAACGTGCTGCGGGAATATTTGCCTTGTATCGGCGTGCAGGTGCGCGAGGCGCTACGACACGACACCTGTGCGCCGGTCGCGCCGATACTCGGCCGAGAGTCGCCGCTAAGGAAATATCGCCGTGGTCTCGAAACAGCGTGACGGGAAACGGCGTAATCGCCCACAACTTTCGGCGCCTCGCGCCGATAACGCCTCGCGTTGAAACGGCCGAGTTTCAGCCGCCGCGACTTGTCGCGCGCACGTGAAATGACTGATTATCTGCGGACGAGTCCGGAATCGTCCGGATGAGTCGCCGGGGTAATTAGCGCGAATGCTCGGCGCCGATTACCTCGCCGATTACCGACGCCTGCTTACCGTCGCTTATTATCGGCCTCGCTCTTTCCTTCTTCTTCTTTCTCTTTTTTTTCCCAACGCGCTTAATTAATCGCGCGAGTGCGATTGCTCGCGTTTATCGCGGTGAACGTTATTGACACGCGGAACATCGGTAGGGCGGGGGGCACCGTACGAGGCACGGATAAGCACGGGATAAGCAGCAGATAAGGGAGTGTCGGCTCATGACGAAACGGCGTACGCACGTTTCGTGATGTTCCGCTGCGCAATTCCGCACGCGGAGGACACGAAATGGCGCGCGCGCGCGCGCGCTACTGATTACACAATGCGTGAATCGGCTGCCGTTTCGTCGTCGGGGTTGCACAGGTCGCGAGACGATAAAGATTGCTACCGTGAAGAGTGAGTGAGCCCCGGGCCATCGCCGGGAGCGATACGCACACACATGTATACCCTCCCCCCTTCTCTTTCACTCTCTTCTGCGATAATCTCCCACGGAAAGCGCGTCTCGAATCTTCGATCGCGCCAAGGCGAAAAGAGAAGAGTCACGGTGCGCGTACGAGCTCGCTGACGTAGGTGGGTCCAGTTTTTCGTCGCCCTCGAGCACGGGCGATCGCCGCCACGTGCGGAAACCGGTTCGCGCGTACGCGATTATTAGGAGCGACCGAGAGCGCGGGCCCGGCGGTCTTCGAAATTTCCGGCCGACGGGCGGTCGAAGTGGAGATTTTCTCTCCCACAGAGGGAACGAACGACAGAGTGCGTTTCTCGAACCGTGTCGACGAACCGGCGCGGCGGCTGAAAACGCTCTCGTCGAGGGGAACGGCATTCCGGGCTCTCACGAGCGAATTTGTATCAGCCGAAAGAAAGTAATTTCAGAATAACAAGCGGAATCATCTAAATTTTGGAGGATTTTATTTTTATATATGGCCTCACGAGGATTCCTCTGAGATTAAGAGGAATATATTACTTATTTATTTATTTATTAATAATATACGAGTCTGATACCTTTGGCGTACAGTAGTTGAGACAATAGTATAACGAGTAAGAAGATTCTCATACAATAAATAGGGAAAACAAGTAAAAAAAGAAAAAGAAAAAAGGAAAAGAAAGAAAGAAAGAAAGAAAATAAGGGAGAAAAAAACAGAAAAAAAATTAATAAACACTTCTTAAAATTCTTATTCTTAAAATTAGAGGGATTATATGGTATTTATATATAATGCAAGTCTTACTGATTTTAATACAAATTTCCTTTCATACATAGATTATTTCATCTTTTTTTAAGAGGATTGTTTATTTATATTATATTATTTATTATAAAATATTTATTCTTACTGGTTATATAATAGTTAATTTGAAAAATTATTATAATGTATAGCGAAAAGTAATATATATATATATATATAGATGTATACTTCTGGCTCTAGTTCTACAATAAGTAGAAATAAAATCACCATGACAAATAAACTTCTAATCAGTTTTGTTATACTTCTTAGCTACAAAGATGTCCATCATAACCAATTGTATGAAACATAGTTAAAAGAAAGAATATATTATTCAACTTGTTGCAACAGATTATAAATTATCTTTGACTAAATACGGATAAATTATATTTGTTATATGTTACAGCAACATACATACCTTTTTCAAAAGGCATTCCAAATATTCTGACCCAGGAGCAATATGGTTATTTTTCGTTCGTATCTGGTGGATAGAGCACGACTAAACAAAACAAGCCGGCATTCGAGTCAACATATTCCTCTTCATATGAGAGGAAAATTAATTGATATAAGAGGAGATTCTCTCGAAATAAGAGGAAAACAGTTAGAATAATTAGTCGCTTTGTCGAGAGAGGAATCCTTTCACTGTAAAAGGCTTAATGTAAAAGAATATGCGACTATGGGGAAAAACATTTTACAAATAGAATACTCTTTTGGGGTGGAGGATGATCGCCGGGGGAAGCAGGAATTCCGTTCCCTCTAGCGCAAAACGCGTATGCTCGCCGTTCATCGTCACCTCGATTCAAGCGATCTTTTTTTCTCCCCGTGTGCTTAACCGCTCGCAGCGTGCATTCGTGTTAACGGCCGCTCTAAATATGGAAATCCGACTCGAGTCTCGAGGGTAGATGCAGGCGTTGCGTTGATAAAATCGATGTTTATTTCCATCCAGCCGCAATCACAAGCGTCGACGACGTCGCGTACAATAGTACTCGGCGATCGATCCAACCTTGAGGATACACAAGGAACACAAAGGTCGCGGTGTCGCAAAGTAAAGAGTTAAAGTGAAAACTAATCGATGCTGCGGGAGGGGTGGAATAATGATACACGGAAGAAGATGAGTCTCCCTCCCCTGACCCGCATGGGAAATGGTCGATGGCCCCGCGCCATCGTCCGTTTCCAGGAAGGCTCCCTCGATCCTCGCCGCTTCTAGCACCGATCGTTCTCTCGACGAATACGGCGACTGTGACGCAATTTCGCGAGCTCGAACTCGACCCGGCTGGGATATATATATACTTTTTCGCGATTCTCTCTCCGAGTCGGCCGTAAACACTCGTGAGACGAAACGAGAGCGATAGTTGACCCAGCATCGTCCTCGTCGTCCTCGCCGTCCTCTCTCTCTCTCTCTCTCTCTCCTCTCTCTCTCTCTCTCTCTCTCTCTCTCTCTCTCTCTCTCTCTCTCGACTTCTTTCTCTCGCCGACCTTGAATCGAACGTCGCCTGAAACGTACGCACGCAGGGAGATCAGCTCGCGATGACGCGCGGCATTTTCACCTCTCTCTCTCTCTCTCTCTCTCTCTCTCTCTCAGGCGACAAATTAATCAGCCGGCAGATACTTTCGCCGCGATAACGGCGCTGATATACGCATGGCGCAAAAACACTCGTAGCGCTCGGCGCGCGATAGCGCACAGCTCTATTTTCGATCTCTTGTACATTTTTCCGAAGCAGTCGCCGACTGCAACGTGCTTCGCCGCCTCGTCTTTGCCAAACGCTCGTGCGTTTTTACGCGTGTGCGTGTGCAGAAGCTTGTGCGACTATGTCGGTCAATCTCCCCCCTCCTTCTCTCTCTCTCTCTCTCTCCCTCTCTCTCTCTCTGTCTCTTACGCTCCCTCTCTCAGGAACGACGAGCAAACAAAGTTCGCTAAACGCAATAACAGAGCGCCCTTGTTATCCCCATTGTCTAACCAGGATTACGCAACAGGAGTGTGACGCCATTCTCACGCGCCGCGGCGTCGTGGCGGTTCGGCCGCCGCGAACTCCCGCGGGGCGAGGCGTGTTTTGCGAATTCCACGATTGTCACGCGCGCTTGATACGCGCGCGTGTATGTTTTCACGTACACACGTATGCGCGGTACGCACGTGTGTAGTGTGTTGAACCGCCGTGAATTTAAAAACGAGGAGGAAAAACACTCCGTGACGCATTTAGATAAAACGGATTAGAAATAATCGAACGACGCCACGCTCGTGTACACATACGCACACAGGCGTCCCCGTAAAAAGAGTCCCGCCTTTCCCCAAGCGAGACGACGACAAATAGAGATCGCCTGTGCGATAGCCGGCGAGGTTAGGGGAAGGAGACGAGGAAAGAGGGAGGGAGGGAGCGAGCGAGCGAGCGAGCGCGAGAGAGAGAGAGAGAGAGAGGCGGCTCGCTAATCGCCGGGTTATTGAATCGCTAATGCAACGGTTGCGTAACGATAACGCCGCCGTAAATAAATTCCCGCGGTTCCGATCTTACCCGCCCCGTCTGCCTGCCTCTACCTCACCTACTCACCCAACTACCGGCAACAACAAGTCGCTCGGTCGGTCGGTCGGTCGGTCGAGAGAGAGCGAGAGAGGGAAAGATGAAAACAAGCGCGCACTTGTGCGTGCGCGCATCTCGTGCGCATCGGCGTTACGGGGTGGGAGGGTTAGACGAGCGCGGCATACGTGACCGGAGAACACCTTGCGCGCGCATTCTTGCGCCGCCGAAAACAAGTGACCACGCGATCGCCGGCGTCGCGGCGCGTGCGCGCTCGCGTCGTCCTTAACTAACCGCGAGCTGAAACGAGCGGCATAACAGCGGAGCTGCCAGCGTGCCGGACGTCCCGTGGCTCGGCGAAAGGTCGCCGAAGAGGCGACGATGTCCGTGGTAACGAGAGAGAGAGAGAGAGAGAGAGAGAGAGAGAGAGAGAGAGAGAGAGAGAGAGAGAGAAAAGAGCGAGGAAAGCCGAGAGCGCATTAGAGCAGAGAGAAGTACGAGAGTGGCGCCGTGCGGCGCGCGCGAAGGAGATCGAGCGCAAAGCGCGAGCGACCAATCACAGCCGAGACTTACCGAGCACCCGAGCACCGCCATGTTGAAGCTCGCGGGACTCGTGCGATCGGTCGATTCCTCTCCTCCGCTCGAGCTTCGTCGCTTACGTTTTTGCATGTATGTGCTGCCGGCTTTATTACGCGCGAAATGGCGCGACGCTCCGCTCGCGCGTCGCGCCTCCCCTCGCCAGTCCACCCATTCTCCTGGTACCGGTCTATCCGCGGCGCGAAGGGCGCGCGGGGTCGCTGCAAGTTTGCCGCCGTCGAATCGCGCGAGTGAAGTCGGAGGTCGGTGCAAGGATCGGTGTGGAGGTTCGAGAAGCATGACGCGGTAAGCGCGAGCCTTCGCTCGCTTCGTTGCACGCTCTTTTTTTCTTCATCCGCGAAAAATGATCACGCAATTCTCATGGAGATTTCGTCCGCTCAATAGGTGCTGACGTTTATATCGCAGGCGTATCGCCGCGTATGCACCTCGCAGGAGCAGATTCGAGTCGGCCGCCGCCGCCGCCGCCGCCGAGAAGCCGTAGCCTGAGAGACACGTTGCCTACGTGACTCTCGGGGCGTAGACGATGCCTCACGATTCGCGCGAAGCGACGCAGGCGACGTCGTACGGCGAGGTGAGAGGAGCTGAAGCGGGTCGGCTCGTCGCCGCGGTGGTGGGGTTGGCCGGAGTGTTAGTAAGCAGAGCGGCCATCTTGTCGTGTTCAGTCGGAAACCAACTGCCGAGCAGTGAGGGATGGTGTAGAGAGGAGACGAGAGGTCAGATGTGTTAGGCGAAGGATTTTTTAATGCGCTTCCGAGCCCGGCTGCCGCTACGTGCGAGAGGCTGTGCGATAGCGACGACGGAGCCACAACGACCACCGCGGGATTTTCGCGTGCGAAAAGGCCCGGTGCATCCGGTTAAAAACCTTGTGTGGAGGGGGAGCTGCGGAGGAGCAGGAGCAGGAGCAGGGGGAGGAGGAGGAGGAGGAGGAGGTGGAGGAGGACGAGCGAGAGGCTGACTGCGAGCCTAGCTTCTCATCGGCGAAAAGGCTTGGCCGCTTGGTTGTGTTGAGAGAGGAGTGGACGAGAGAGATACGCGGCGAAGAGGAGAGTGAGAAGAAGACCAGCACGTAGGATGACCGACCGAGAGAAAGTGCAGTGTCAAAGTCTGTGATAGTATTTATTCGAAAACAACAACAACAACAACAACAAGGTTTCGCGCGTCTGTAGCGAAACATCGTCGGCAACAGCAGCAGCAGCAGCATCTCTCGTGGACAGTGTCATCGTCGTTCGAGAGATAGAGATAGAGATAGAGAGAGAAAAGAGAGAGAGAGAGAGAGGAGAGAAAGAGAGAGAGAGGAGAGAGGCAGGACGAAGAGGAAGAGGACGAAGAGTCGTGTGCGCTGAGAGAGACGAAGCTGCGGAGTGTGAAGAGAGACACGTAGAAGATAGACTTTATATATTTATTTATATCTGTGATACCGACGCGCTGATATACATCAACCCTCTTCGCGCGAGATACGAAGACGTGGACGAGCGAGAGGAGCAGAGAGGGGGAGATTATATCAGTCTCTTAGTAGATAGGCGTTTTTGTAAATACGACTGACTCTTTTTTATAATTACTGCTAGCGGTGCGAGTCGTGAGACAGAGAAAGAGAGAGACAGAGAGAGAGAGAGAGAGAACAGAAAACGCGTGCACGGACGGATCTCTCATTGGAGGTGAATCGCCGGAAAACTCCCAGATATTGTCCGAACAAGCAGCATCACGCGGTCGCAGGGAAACATGGTGGAGAAGATCTTGGAGGAGAGAGAGGACGGCACTCAGGAGGCCGGACGGGGTAAGCAAGATTTCTGTTCAGTCACTTCGACTCCCGGAGATTCTTCGGTCGGGAGAGACAATTGTACATTCGGCGAATATGTCAAGACAGCTCGCCGTTTATCGCGCTTGTCCCTCTCTCGGCCGCTAGTTGTACTCGGCAACTAGTCTAATCTCATCAGAATCGTACGATTGTTTGTTCCCTTTTCCCGCTCGCCGCTTTTTTACTCCGCGAGAGAGAAACGCGTCCTCTCGCACCTCGAGCATCATATATCGATGGCTCTTAGACACTCTCCAAAAGGGAAATCTGTTCAAAATTCACCGGGGAATCATTCTCGCCGAAATTAAGGTCGCCAGTTGTCGAGTATCGATGTTTGTTTTTCAAACCGGCTAACCTCAGAGATGGCGGCGGCGGCGGCGGCCATTTTCGCCGGTCAATGTGTAACGACCCAGTAACGAGTCGAGGTGTTGCTGAAGCGAATGTTCCTTCGCGTTTTACGTATTCATCGATGTTGTATGGTGTAGGGAGAAGAAGGCAGGAGGGAGAAGGAGAGAACAGACCGCAAGAGAGAGAGAGAGAGAGAGAGAGAGAGAGAGAAGAGAAGAGAAGAGAAGAGAGATGAGTCTCACGCTCTCGAGCTGCCGATAGGAAGAGCTCGGCGACACGACTCGACTCGACTCGCTCGACGTGACGCGACGCGACGAGAATGTCAGGTTCAAACATGCTGGCCGCGCTCTCAGCCATTCGCTCTTCGTAGAAAATCGCATTGCGAATATGTATGAATCGACGCGGAGGGATCGACGATAGAACTTTCTCGTAGCTGGCGGAGCCAAGGCACACGTCCGTTGAGCCCGCCGAGATGTTTTCTCGTCGTCTCGTCTAATACGGATGAAATAAGGGAGCGAAAATATTCGACTCACCCGCTTCGTCGCTCGCCTCGAGACGCCGCGTACCGTTGCCGACGATCGTCGCCGTGGTGTCGACGACGGGGCTCCGAGTCGCGTAAACGCGCGAGCGGGTTTCGTCAGCCGGCTTACGTGGAAATTGCGTGGCGAAGCGGCTTTTTTCTTCTTCCATCGGGAGGTGCTTCAACGAGCATTGTCGGGCTCGACATCGATTCTTCTCGCCTTACGCCGCCACGTCGCGCCGCCGGCGCTCCGAAGAGAGATTCTACGCGTTTCGCCGCCGCGTTGTGCTACCCCCCTGCGACTGACCGACCCCGCTCTCGGCAAATGTGAGAGGCCGCGGCGTGTGTAAATTTACGCATTATAAACTCGTTCGCTCGGCTTTACCGGCGACGAGCTATTTTCGTTCGGCGTCTTTAACGCGGCGATTTGAACGGAGTTATTTCGCCTTTGCTTCGTTCGCTCGCTCGCTCGCTTGGGTCAGATTTCTCGCGTGCGTCGTCTGACTCGCTGACGCGTCGTTTCTCCTCGCGAGGAAATTTTGCGCCAATAACGCGAATATTCTCTGGTATTATTTTTGGGATTGTCGACGAGAGAGAGAGAGAGAGAGAGAGAGAGAGAGAGAGAGAGAGAGAGAGAGAGAGAGAGAGAGGGAGGGAGAGGAAAGATAGGCCGACGCCGGCACTGGCGTCGCGTTTTGCGACGTTTCCGACTAGCGCGCGTCGTTGGCACGGCGTATTATTTTCGGGGTTAGAGCGCGCGGGGGGTGGCAGGGAGGGCGAAGTGGGTTAGTCGGTATACACGGCGACGGGTTCGGCAAGTTCGGCGCCGTATCACGATGCCGAACGAAGGGAGAACGCGCGCGCGCGCGCGAGTTGGTTGTAGGGCGACCCAAACAAAGAACGGAAGGGAGAAAGGGTCTCGGGACGGCCGCGCGCGCATGTCAGTTCCATGCGCTCTTAAAGGGAAACGCACGATTTGAAGGACAAAGAGATACGCGAGAGAGCTCGAGGCAAGCGCGAGCGCGCGCACGCGGCTCCGAATGCACGCGATGGTATCTCTGGCAGAAAAGAGAGAACGAGGGAGAGAAGCGCGCGCGATAAGTGTGAGTGATGAATCGAGCTTGCGAATCGCCGCCGTTGTCTCGTCGAGTCGTCGTCTCTCTCTCTCTCTCTCTCTCTCTCTCTCTCTCTCTCTCTCTCTCTCGCGAGAAACGCGAACAGCGAGATATACTCGCCTTTATTTACCCGATCCGGGCGGACAAGAGTGTGTATACAAATATCCCGTGAGCCTCTCTGCGCGTGAATATACCCGGGCGTACGGATTTTCGCGAGGCGACGTGAACATTCCGAGATGTAAAAATTGTCGCGTTCGCTCGGAAGGAAATATTTTTCGAGCGGGAGAACGCCTTTCTCTCTCTCTCTCTCTCTCTCTCTCTCTCTCTCTCGCTCGACCGACCTCGCTCGCTCGTCACTCTCGGTTTGATCTCGCACTCGTGTGTTCTTTAATTCCTCGTGACGATTAACGGTGCGTTATTGCCATCGCGGCAGCTTCCACTCGGCGTTGGCGCGAGCACGTGCGGATAGAGCGATATCGTGCATATCTCGCGTAAGATGGCGGCGTTCCTTTTCTGTGCCAGTCATTGAACTCTCGGAGGCTCGATGTGCCGGCCGGCGGCGTCGTCGTCGTCGACATCGACGACCACGACAGCCACGACGAAGACGCACGAAAATACACTCTTCGCCGGCACCGAAATTACGACGACATGAGCGACGACGAGCGCGACGCCTCGGGATGGGATGGGATCCTGACGAAAACAACGTCGTCGATCCTGTCGTCCCCCAAACATACGGGAAACTCCTCTCTGTCTCGCTCGCTCTGAGACGCTCGCGACGAGCCTAGTTTCGACTTTCCAGAACTCTCCTCGCGAGCGCATCAATGAGTGCCCGATGAACTCTGCGCCGCCGCTGCGATTGAATAACTTTCCGTTTCGCCGGATCGTTGACCGTGCGTGTCTCTCTGTCATCGATTGACGCGCACACGCGTACGCATGTCGTCGTCGTCGTCGTCGTGATCTCACGCGAGAGTTTAAATATATCCCGCGGCGTTTCCGCGAGCGAGTCGCGCGCGCGCGCGCGCGCGCGTCCGCTCGGATATCGCGAGCGGCGAGGCGCGTATCGGCGCGGACAATGGCAGAGGAGTCGATCGGCTTACAGTTACGCGCCGTTCTCGATCTGCTCTTGTCGGCTCTGATTTCTCCTCGCGACCCACGCGAGCGAACGGTGGTTGTCCACTCTCGAAGGAGTGGCGCGACGCGACGCGACGCGGTCGAGACTCACTCGCGCGCGCTGTGCTTTATTATTCATCGCCGTTATACGTTACATATTGCGAGGGAGCGCGTCGCGAGAGACGCGCTCCTCGCCCACGCGAACAATACGCGCGTCTTCCTCGCAGCGGCCGCGACGGACACGCGGTTTTATTAATAGGGATAAAGCGCGTGCGCGTTATCTTAACGAACCGCCTTCGATGTGTGCGATGGATTGACGTAATCTTTTCTTATGCAACTTTCGGGAATCTTGGGTCGGGAATCTGACGAGTCTTGCGCGGCGTATTTATTCCGGTGTCTCGATCGAGACACTCTTCTGGTACGTCCAGCCTCGCGCTGGTGGAAATACCGTGACCCCCCGCGATACACATCTCGCGTAAATCGCCACGCCGTATATATTATCTCCGTGAACACGAGGATCGTGAATCGCGTACCGATTACCGGTTCCTCGGCGAGCTGCGCCTTGCCGAGCTCTCGAGCAGCGAGTGAACTTTCCCAACGCGAGAAGAGAGAGAACAGAGAGGGAAACACCGAAGTGCCGCCGCCGGTACGGCGGCTGCTACTATCGGTCGTGTGTCGGCGCGCGACCGACAGTCCCATTTTTAGCAGCTGAATTAGAAAGTGCGAAGACCGAAAGAAAAGCTGCGTGTCACCGTTATCGCGTGTACAGACTAGGGATGCCGATTTTTTTTCAAACAGATCGATCTAAAGATCGATTCGAATCACGAAGAAAAGGATCGATCTTTAAAAAATCGGTTTGTAAAGAATCGATTTCAGAAAGTCGATTGGAATCGGTATACGCATGTAAAGTGGAACCACTCATTAAAGTATACCATCTGTCAGATTTCCACACTCTAAAGTAGATCTCGTGTAATTCATGTAAAGTTTAACATGAATTAAAGAGATTAAACAGATGGGCACCTCTTTTGGTTGTGTTGTGTGGCCATAACAGGATAGAAAAAAATCTTTAAATCTTTATGCTAAGGATTTAATTAGTTTGATTAAACATCAATCAAGGGTTTTTAAATAAATAAACGTTATTAAATAAGAAATCACGTTTACTATTATATGCATATACATATGTATATAATATATGCTATTATATAAAGTGGCTGTGATTGGCTGTGGTTCGCGCGTTCCGTTCCGCTGAAAATTTTCGCCCATGGAACATCGTTGCCTAAAGGGAACGTAATGTGCATCGTGCGGCCATTAAGTGAGTTCAAATATTACAATTGAAAAGAATTAAAAAAAAAAACTATATTACTAGTAGAAACTGAAGGAATCGTGTCGGCGATTTTTTCAGAGTTTACAGATCGATCCTTGAGTCGATTCAGTTCCAGAAAATTGCTTTGAAATTGATCTTTTAGGCTCCGATTAATCGATCTTCGATTAAATCGATTTAAAATCGGCATCCCTAGTACAGATGCCGCGAGGCTGACGCGTTTATTGTCGCTCGCCGGGCCGCGCCTCATTTCGAGCGGATCCTCTTCTTCGGCGGTCCTCTCTCGCGCGTCACTCGTCGCGCGGCGCAACGCGCGAATTCCGGAGCTCGTCTGCTATTCGACCCGCTACTATTTTCAAGCGCCCACACATATATCGGCCGAAGTGCGATAACGCCGAGCGCGACGGCGCGCGGCGCAACTTTCGTCGGCCAGCGCTTTGGCGTAGCCGTTGTCACGCTCGAGCGGAATTATTCCCAGTTTTCATTTAGCCTCGGCCGAATCGATGACGGCGCGCGCCTCTCGTTTCGGACGGATACAAAAGTGTACCGGCCGCCTCTATAATCGAGACTCTCCCCTACGACGGGGACCGCCTCCCGGCTTTCCTCCGCTCTCCCTTTTCGCTTTTTATCGCGCGGGGGAAGCGCCCACGACGACGCGAAAGCCCGCGGCGGAGGAGGAGCCGCGAAATATTCCGTCGATGAAACGGATTCTCCGCAATACCCTCCCCTCCCCTCCCGTCCCCAAGTCGACCTGCCTTCGTCGCTTTTAATCGTTATCTCTCGCCGTTAAGGCAATTTTCAGTACTAATTATTGCAGTCGGCCTTCGTCACGCACCAGTGCGCGAAACGGTGCCGCGACGCACACCGCAGCAGCGGCGTTACTGCGTCGTGTAATTGGCATGTAAAAATGTAAAAGGCAATATTTTATCGCGCGTTGGAAATAACCGAAGATACGCCGACGTCTAGCGACGGCGATGTAATTATAACGGAGCGAGCATTATTTTAAACCTTGGACCTATTAAGAGTACGGCTTTATTCATAAAGACTGAGCGCGCGACTCGATGAATGCTCGAGGAGAGTCCGTCCCCTTACTGGCGCCGTATGACGCGCCGTAATCGCTCCTTTTTTCCCCAACATCAGTTGCGTCATATTTATCGGGAAGAAACGCCAGCCGCCGTTAATTCGGCGCTGGAAAATGGCGCGCACGTGGCCGCGTTTCGCCGCGCCGCGCTGCGCTACGCTGCGCGCTGCTGCGCGCTGCTGCGCTCTCGCACGTCGGCTGCGGCTGAAACGGCAGCTGCGAAAAATTTCACGATCTGCGCGCGCGGCACTTGAACTTACAGTCGTGAGTGAAATTCGAGGCTTCTTGTTTTTCAGCGAATTAAGGCGGGTAATGGGTCGAAGCGAAAGTCTATATTCGTCGCGAAAGTTATCGCTAAGCTGCGATCGCGCGCGCGCGCGCGCGCGCGCACGCGGGCGGCGGTGAACGAACGTGACTCTCGCGAGAGAGTGAGTGACTAATACTCGGTGGCGGCGTTGCGCACGATGATACCGCGGTGTCGATAAGCTCCGCAACAATAAAAATAAACGATCGCGCTTGCGCTCGCGGGCGACGCCGCGATAACGGGAAAACGCGTGTCACGTGTGGCTGGTAGGCGAGCTACTTTTTGTCCGCAAATAAACGCACCAAAGTTGTGCAACAACTGCGTGTGCGTCTTTTTTCTCTTTCTCTCTCTCTCTCTCTCTCTCTCTTTCTCGCTATCTCGCGCGCTCCGCTGGAGGTGCGCGGGGAAGGTGATTGATACTTCCGCGGCCAGCGATTTACTTGGTGCGCGTGAACTTTCCGCTCGCGTAACCTGCTCTCCCTGCAATTGCGAGTCAAGAATATACCGACCGATTTCGACTAACTGTGTTACGCTGCTTTCAGGCGACGGTACCTGCCGGGACGTGGCGTCGACGGGGGAGTCTATGAGCGCGGTGCAAGCCCGTCAGGAAGAAGCGAGACGCAAGAGGCGCAGGAAGAGACGCTCCGGCTCATCCTTGGTGTCCTCCTGCTTCCAAGGTAATGATTCACTCGGATCGCCGGGGAAAATGTACACGCTCTCGTACGCACGTACGCACATCTTGATGGAAATTCGTGCGATCATGTATATGTATCTCCGTCTCACTACGATGTCTTTTGTTTCGAGATGGAGGGAGGATAAGGAGGAGAGGGACAGCGGAAGCGTGCGGGGATTCCACGCCACGCACTCATCCGCGCGACGAGGTCTTTCGCATCGCGGGGTAATTGGCGGTTTTCTCTCTCTCTCTCTCTCTCTCTCTCTCTCTCTCTCTCTCTCTTTTTCTCTCTCTCTTTCTCTCTCTCTCTCTCTCTCTCTTTTTCTCTTTTTCTCTCTCTCTCTCTTTTTCTCTTTTTCTCTCTCTCTCTCTCTCTCTCTCTCTCTCTCTCTCGTCGTAGGTGTACGTGTGTGACCTTGGACAAATTCGGAACGCCCGAGAAACACTCGCGATGGCGCGTGAGGCGGCGATAATCGATCGCGCAGCGGGCGCTCCGGAATTTTGCACGTCCACGCGATACGCCCGCTTGTTTATAAACACCGGAAGTTCGCTGCCCCGCCCACCCCCGAGCGCCCCTTCCCCGCATCCTGTCCCTTGGTTCCCCCACCCGGAAATACTCGGACGGGGTCGCTTTGTCTGCCGTCCTTCAGGGCATCTACGGACTAATAACGACGGCAGAAAATTGCAGCTGCGAAAGTACGGCTCGTTCGGCTGACACGCATCTTTGAATTGCACAGTACGAGAGAGGATCGCCGAAAACTTGGGAGAGCTGAAAACTCGTTTATCAGGATCACCGCGAGGGTTCGCGGAAGATCGAAACTCGCTCCCTCTTTTGTACGAAAACAGGTACGAAAGGACCCATCTCGCCGACACTTGGACTTTCCACACAATTCTCTATTCCGAGTTTCTTTTCCAATTTCCTCGCTTGTCGCTGTTTGCAAAACTTTCTCTCTCTCTCTCTCCGTCGATCTTTCCCACAAATTTTCTCCGTTTCATAATTTAATTCTGGAGAGAGAGAGAGAGAGAGAGAGAGAGAGAGAGAGAGAGAGAGAGAGAGAGAGAGAGAGAGAGAGAGAGAGAGAGAGAGAGGGAGGGAGGGAGGGAGAGAGACATCCCATCGCGGCACGGCCTCGATACGGTCGTTTCTCACCGCGCGCCGTTTGTTATTTTAGGGAAAACGCGCGCGCCTTTCTTCGTGCAAACTCGTAACCGGCGCTTGTCTTATTTCAGAGAGAAAGAGAGAACGCGAGATCAGAGTTAATTCCAGCCACAGCTGGCAAACACGGTTATTCGGGCACGGAGTCGCTCGCTCGTTCGCTCGCACGCGCGATCGATAGCACTGCTGGCCCACAGAGAGAGAGAGAGAGAGAGAGAGAGAGAGAGAGGAGGGAGAGAGAGAGAGAGAGAGAGAGGGGGGGGAGAGAGAAAGAAAGACGGAATCACCCTCCTTTGGCACACATTTTTGGCCCGAGTTTACTCGACTTCGAGGGTGATTCTCATTCGGCGAGTGTTGTGCCGGTTGGCGATGTAAACGCCGTGATGGAGTTCAGTGCCTCGGTCGGATAGCCGGCCGGCCGGCCGGCCGGCTGGTGGTCGATTGGTCGGTCGGTCGGTCGGCAGGCCGGCCGGCCGGCCGGTTGCATCATCTGATCGATTCGCTAGTTCGAGAAGCTTCTCTACCTTGCTTGGCAGCGTACATGTATATCCCAGCACGGTCGATAGAGCTCGGCCGAGAGAGAGAGAGAGAGAGAGAGAGTCCCGAGCGAGAATCTGTATGACGCGAGATTCTCGTTACGTTTCTGCAGGTTGTCTCGCTTGATCACGTACAGCCATCAAAGACAATTCTTCGCGCGAACCGGAGGAAGAGGGAGAAAGAGAGAAAGAGAGAGATAGACGGTGTGTATTCTGTTGTACGCAGAGCGGTGATAGATCGCGGCGATCGATCTTACGCGCCTCCGCGTGCATAATCAGCCCCCGGGAGAATCGGCGCTTAATTCGGCGCGAGTCGACGATCGCGCAATTCTCGAGAGCACTCTATATTTACTTGGACCGCGCGCTGTTAAAATTGGTATAGAACGGCGTAGAGAGACGTGGTGGAGGCGCGTATTATCGGCTTCTGGTTGCTAGGCGCTGGCGACGTTGCCACGCGCAACGCTCGCGTATCCTGCGTATAACCGAGTGGAGGAAGCAAAAAGGGGGATTGCACGATGAGAGGGGCAGAGAGGAGAAGCACGAGGAGGGCACACTGGGGGGGGAACGACACGCAGACGCGGCAACATAGCTCCGTAGCACTCGACGTGGTGGGGATGAACAGAACGATAGGCGTGCGAGGGGGGAGTTACGGAGAGAAGAGGAAAGGAGCCGCGATAGCGCGCACTTCCGAGAGAGAGAGAGCGAATTCGGTGTTATGTGCGTCGTAGTTCCGCGCTGATCTCTCTCTCTCTCTCTCTCTCTCTCTCTCTCTCTCTCTCTCTCTCTCTCTCTCTCTCTCTCTCTCTCTCTCTCTCTCTCTCACACACTCACTCACTCACTCACTCACTCACTCACTCACTCACTCACTCACTCACTCACTCACACACTCACTCACTCACTCACTCACTCACTCACTCACTCACTCTCGGTCACCCCCTTTCGACCTTGACATTGACTGTCCGTCAGGATATACGACACGCTACTCTGTCGCGCACACCGCACGCGTTTGGAGAGAGAGAGAGAGAGAGAGAGAGCCTGTTTGAAGTGCGGATAATTGGGCCTTTCATATCGATCGGCTCGCAGGGATAAAGCTCTTATTCCGAGACCGAGACGAATTTTCGCGTCCGCCTATTTCGAGCTGAAAGACCGTCGACATCTCCCTACTTCCTCGTTATTGATTCAGCATTGGTGTGATTCGCGTGATATGTTGGCAGTTTCACGTGATTCTCGCCGAAGCTCTGAGATAAGCGACGAGATGGCAATAGCCGTGATGATGAGGAGAACTTGTCGAGTCCGGTCTCAGAGTCTCCTTGTCTCTCTTTACCTCTTTCGTTCCGCATACGCGACTCCGAGCGATGCGGCGACGTAATCGTCAAAAGCGTCCGCAGGACGACGCGCAGTATCATGCCAAATGAGTGCCGTATTGATTCAGTAAATTTATGTATCGTCGTCGCCTTTACATTTATAAGGCGGGCAAAACGTACGAATGAGCTGTTCGGATGTGCGATACGTGACATTACTCGTTTTTATACTTTTTCTCCCTTTTATCTTGGATTTTGCGAAATTCTTGTTCAAAGAGGCACTCTCCTCGTCGCGCTGTTACAGAACTGTACAAATTGACTGGTGAGGTACTCGGTGAGGGCGCTTACGCCTCGGTCCAGACATGCACGTCCCTCTACACGGACCTTGAGTATGCCGTGAAGATCATCGACAAGATCCCCGGGCATGCTCGCGCCAGGGTATTCAAAGAGGTCGAGACGTTCCACCATTGCCAGGGTCACCCGAATATCATTCAGTTGATCGAGTTCTTCGAAGATGAGGAGAAGTTCTACCTGGTATTCGAGAAAGTCAACGGTGGTCAGCTGTTGAACAGAATCCAGGAGCGAGTTCACTTCACCGAGAGGGAGGCGAGTCAGATCATCAATGAGATTGCGAGCGCGCTCAACTTTCTTCATAAGAAAGGTAATTTGCCGAGCAGTCGATAAGAATCGAGAGTCATAAATCGTCATGAATAATAGAACGTCGAATAACGCGTGCTCTTCTCTGTGTGCGTTTCAGGGATCGCCCATAGAGATCTCAAGCCGGAGAATATCTTGTGCGTGTATCCGGACAAGTTGACGCCGATCAAGGTGTGCGACTTCGATCTCGGTTCAGGCATCAAGTTCAACAATTCTTTGTCAAGTCCCGTGGCTACACCGCAACTTTTGACACCGGTCGGTAGCGCCGAGTTTATGGCGCCGGAAGTGGTCGAGGCGTTCATCGGCGAGGCCAATTATTACGACAAGCGTTGTGATCTCTGGAGTCTCGGCGTGATCATGTACATCTTGCTGTGTGGCTATCCGCCTTTCTACGGGAACTGCGGCACCGATTGCGGCTGGGGTAGGGGCGAGAATTGTCAGGCTTGTCAGGAATTGCTCTTCACCAGCATTCAAGAGGGCAGGTACGAATTCCCGGACAAGGAATGGAGGTGCATCTCTGAGGACGCCAAGGACTTGATCAGAGGTCTGCTCGTCAAGGAGGCTCACCGAAGGCTCAGTGCAGATAATATTTTGAAACACCCCTGGATCAATCCCGGACCGACCTCCGTCGAAACTTGCGATCGACCACTTACCACGCCTCATATCATAAGGTGAGTCTCACCTTTTCATTTTTCACTTCATTATTCGCTGATTTTCGTTGATCTTCTTCTTTGTTAATACCGACCGCTCAATACCATGCGCTCGTCGCGTGCGTTTGTTTTTACAGGAGGAACAACTCCGCTAGAGAACTCTCAGCATTCGCTGAGTCCGCAATGGCTGTGAATCGTGTGGTACTTCAGCATTTCTCTCTTAACCTCGAGGATTTGACGGAGAACAGGGAGCCGCGATTGTCCACGTCGTCCACCGATGACGACAATCATCCGTACGGACACATGTCCGACTCAAGCAGCGAACTGTCCGAGAACAGCAAGCACTTCGCGACGCATTCCTCCAGCGAGTTCGACGCCACGCGAACGCAGAAGTCGTCCTCCTCCGTGCTCTCCAACGTCGACCTGAGCGATCCGAAGATCATCGGCAAAAATCGCGTCCTCGGCAAGGACTCGCTGCACCTGTTCGGCTTGTCACCGCCGTGCGAGAGCCGTCTGATGCAACGTCGTCTGAAAGCGCGCTCGGATCTGCTCGAACGTCAGTCCGGCAAAGCGGTAATCGCATCCCCGAGTGGCTAAGATGGTTGTTGTAAAGAAAGAAAACAAAGTATATCGTCCTTTCTCTCGCTACAGTATAACTTGTCTCTTTGTAACTTGCACGCGAGAACGCGAAGATGTACAATACTTTTTCCAACGGCTTAGATCGGTAATGATAGTATGTAAAGCGACAAAAAAGATGTGCCGTTGAGTCTTCGACTCTGCGCGGACGAAGGTATATATTGGATACGCGAAAAAAAAAAAATGGAGAGAACAGGCTCTCGATCGTTTACACAATAGAGAGCAGTTACGACGGCAAACACAGTAACTCACCAGATAAATTCTGTAAGATCCTGCCGCGAGATTATTATTGGAGAGAAAAAAAAATATATCGTTATCTTCTTTTTTTTTTTTTTCTTTTTCAGTAGCCGTAAGCCTCATTTGTCTCTGAAACTTTCCTTTTTAGCGTACGGTTCGGATGATAAGCAGATGTTTTTATTTCCAATGTCCAAAGTCCTCCCTCACTTTCTCACGTGTCTCATCGATCGCCCAACAATTAACTTTTAATCAATCGGTTAATAATAATAATAATCATCATGACGTGTTACATAGAGAGCGTAAATACACTAAACGTATTTAAACCAAGAAAAAGGTAAATAAGATATAAGTACACGTACGATTTCGTTTAGAGCGTAAATCTTAATTGTAGCGTGTAATAACAAGGCAATGCGCTGTGTGTGCGCATTCGCGAGAAAGTGTACCTCACTTTACGCGCGGTACGTAAATAAAAATCGATACTTATCGCGGATCTTCGGGCGAAAGGGCGGGAAAAATCCGCTGTTTGACTTCGGCTCTCGACGTCGCGCGCGCGCGCGCGCGAATAATCCTTTCGTTTCCCTTGGAAATAAAAGCAAATCTGATTACATCTAACCCTGTCAAATCATCCGCGCTGCGTGTCATCGGTTATTCCACGCGGCTTATGTATGTACAGTTATACGTTGCATATTGTACAGTATCTAGGAGGTATCTACGCAACACACGCGCATCGACAGCATCCACATCACACGTACACACGACACGAACGAGAGAGTCCATGTACCGAATCTCACACACTCTTCATTCATCCGTACACATCGACGTGATTCGCGCGAGTCAGTCTCGCGATTTGCGCGAGATGACTCGGGAGAATGTATCGTTGCGTCAACCGCCGTTGGCGCGCAGACCTTTATTCTTATCGTCACGATAGTGCACGTCGAGTAATAACACACACACACACACACACACACACATATACACGCATACACACATACACACACGCGCGCGCGCACGCGCGTTCATGTGTAGACAGGCAGATTACAAAGAAAACGTAAAAAAGCAAAAAAAACGAAAAAAAGAGGGAGGAGAGAGAAAAGGAGAGGACCCTCGAGATCGTGTGATAGTTCACGCGCCATCGAACGCACGGAACATCCCTCTTACATTACGTAAATATCATTTTCATTTGTTCGTCCGGGAATTATTTGAATGTGAAAGTTGGGGGAAGAGAGAAAGAACACAGAAAGAGAGAGAGAGGGGGGGGGGGAAGGAAAACGGTCGTTGGACGCGACAAGCGAGAGCGAAAGATGTTCCTTTTACCGCACTTTTGATATTGTTTGAAATATATTCGAGCCATGAATATGCGTATATATTGCCGAACAGAGCAAACCGGTGGTGAGCGTACCTCGGCGCACAGGTGCAGATTATAGTTTGCTCACATTAGGTTAGTGAAAAACGCGAAATAGATCGTAAGAGCCACGAGGAAGATTTCAAGACGATATTCTCGGAGGGCGTACCATACCAGTTACGCGGTATTAAAAAGGGATAGGGCAGGGAGGGAGGGGGGTAAAGGAGAGAGAACAGCCCATTTAATAACGAGATCTCTCAGCTGTTAAATCGTCGGCAACGAATCATCTATCGATTGGCGTTGCGTATTTTTGTAGAGTTTTATCGACCAAGAGTTGTTTTAACGTCGGCCCATCCACTCACGGTAACGCGCCGTATATTTTAGGAGCTGTGTTTTTGCGTTTCTCTCGTTTCTCCGCGCGACCCCACCACACAGACACCACCCCGGTTGTTGTATATCGACGAAAAACGGCCGAGTGAGTTTCGCGCTCGGGTCGAGGGGGCAGGGGAGGAGGCAAATTCGATCGTAGCGAGACGTTTGTTTCCTTGTTTCTTTATCGCGCGTTACCTTGGAGCAGAATATATATATATATATATATATACATATTATACATATATATATACATATATATATATGTGTATATAATATATACGTACGCGAAGGGGATCTTTTCTTTTCATTCGCTTCTTCATGCCGATGTGGCGGACGGATTTTACTCAGGGCAGCTGAGGAAAATGCTGCGCACGTGATTATACATTACACTTGTACAATTCGCGAACGGCGAGAACGAGGGGAAAAAGGGGTACAAATAGCTACTTGTGTAACGTCCACGCGAGTGCGTGGATCTCCAGGGTCGCGGCGTCGTCGTGTAAGCATATACTCGATGCGGGACGCGCTCCTTCACGAACACCTCATATTCTTCCTCCGTTGAGACGCCGCCGCGCGGCCGCTGCAGTGTCTCTCGCGTGGCGACGTTATACGCGTTTGTACGTTACATGATCGCATCGAAAACTTTCGTAGAGAGTCATTCGCTTGCTATTAGAAACACGGCGAATAATATCGGCTTTTGTCAACTTTTGTCTTCTTTGTACTTTATAAGTATCAGTAAGATAACGATTAACGTTTAACGAGCCTGGATAAGAGATATTGCGAGAAATATATATATGTATATGCATATGTACACATATATATTTACATCTATGTAAATAAGAAAGCTATGATGTGCAGATGTGGAAAGCAATATGTATATATATATATGTATATGTATATATATGTATATGTATATATATATATATGTATATATATATATAAAGTATGAGCTGTTTTAAGGGGAATATTGGAAGATTAATATATTATTTATCGGCCTCTCTTCGCGCAAGGCCAAAGAATTCTTTCGCGTTGTTCCTTTATTATTGTCCGTAGTGCGTTCGCCACTACAACGCTTTTCGAGTAACGATCCCTGTCAAAAAAGAAAAAGAAAAAAAAAAGAAACTCTTATTTTTTCCCCGCTTATTTCACTTTCGTTTCCAAGAGTTCATCTCATTATCCTGCTCGAAATGCGAGGTGTGTCGCATTACACGTTAAGCAATCAAGCGTACGCTCGAGAAAAGGTGGATTACGGAAAAAATTCTTTTTTATCCTTTCTATAAAGTCCTAAAGCGATCGGAGCATACTTTCTCGTATCACAGTCACGGCTGCGACGATTGTAATGAAATTGAAGAGCGTGCGTTTCAGCATAAAGCGTAAATACAGAAAGAGAGAGAGAGAGAGAGAGAGAGAGAGAGAGAGAGAGAGAGAGAGAGAGAGAGAGAGAGTGTGTGTGCGTGTGCGTGTGTGTGAGTGTGAGTGTGAGTGTGAGCGAGAATTTTTTTTATTCAGTTTAAAGTATATAACGTAAGGAGATGTAAAAATAGAGGGAGAGAGAGAGAGAGAGAGAGAGAGAGAGAGAGAGAGAGAGAGAGAGAGAGAGAGAGAGAGAGAGAGAGAGAGAGAGGGAGGGAGGGAGAGAGAGAGAGAGAGAGAGAGAGCAAATGTCGGAGTGTGCCGTGTAAGGGAAAAAAATATAAAAGAAAAAGAAAAAAATACAAATGGCCATAATACAGATCTGTTAAGCATTAATGAGTATAAGATTGTACAGTAGAGCGCGAGGGTGGATATGCGTGCGTGCGTGCATGCATATGTGTGCGTTGAAAGAGAAAGAGAGAGAGAGAGAGAGAGTGTGTGTACGTACGCCTGCGAGTGTGATATACGTGGAGAGAGGGAAACTAACTAGTAGCTCGTAAGAGAAGAATCCAGCATCTTGTCGTAAGTTTGTAGGATAAGGGTACCGCTGAGTCGTACCGATCGTGTGTCAAATCGCGTCACGTTTTTTCATCTCCTCGTCCGTCTACATCCTCGCGTCGTATTATTTCGCGAGCGAATCAATAGGGAGTTTTCACAGTACCGTCTCTCAGACACGGTAAACGTGAATCGTGAACGTGATTCGCTCGGAAAAAACGTCGCGGTTTACGCGACCAATAATAGCGTTAGGGAATTTTTGCGATACCGTGTCTCAGATACGGTAAACGTAAGTCGTGAACGTTATTCGCTCAGAAATAACGTCGCAGTGTACGCGACCATTAGCATTTCACGGTCAACGTCTACCGTATCTGAGAGACGGTATTGCAAAAACTCCCCAGTGACGATTAACGTTTATCGTATCTGAGAGAAGACGGTATTGCGAAAACTCCCTAATTTGTCCACTGTCCGTTCGTCCGTTTGTCGATAGCAATACGCTAGAGTTGTCTCCCGAAGTCAAAGTTCCAAGTCAAAACGAGGCGTTCCCTCGTCCGGGGAAAAGACGGGAGACGACGTAACGCCGTTCGCTGCGAGGTACAATTGGTCGAGTTTCGCACGGTCGGTTATAGCGCAGCGGTCGGCAGTACATGCGAAATACGGATGTTATCATTCTTCATTCTCTTCCCGATACACACACACACACACATACATATGCAACGCGTAGGTTTCCTTTGCCGAGCGGCTAATTACGAAAGAGAATGTATCGCGCGAAAGACGAGAACGAGCAAGCGGCGAAACATGTCGTTGATGACGTTCGCGCGTCGTGCCAAGCTCACCACGGTGTGGCGATTTCATTATCCTGGGACGAGCGACGTCCTCGAGGATAGCGAGAGACTTACGTTAGCTTTTTCTCGGAAAGAGGAAAGAGACGCGACGAGAGAAGTAAGAGAGAACAATGAATAATCACGTGTTGCACAGGGTGTTTGGTGACTCGTGTAGGCCAGTGGAGGACGCGTGGAACTGGCGAAGACAAACCTGAAGAGTCTCGTACCATTCTGCGATATTCGCAACAACTATCGAGTTTTGACAATTACAGATATCTAACTAGAGCGCGCGCTGAGACGAATGGTTGGACGAGCATTGCAGCGCGGCTTCAGCAAGTGTTACCGCGAAGAGACGTAGGAATGATGAGATAAGACTGACTGAATAGCGAAATCGTCCTTGCTTTCGGCTGCAACGCTTCTCCGATCGTCCATCTCGTCGCGCACTCGCTCGTCGAATTTTCACAATTAATAACTCGGATTATTGCGAATATATCGCAAAATGGGACTTTTTATGTTCGTCTCGATCAGTTTTACGCCTCTGTTGGCTACATGAGTTAGCAAACACCCTGTGTATGTTTCAAACGATACGCATTCCTCTCATCTTCCGGCCTGCGCATTCTGTAGAATCTTGTCCCTGCTCTTGTCGCGTTTCTCCTTTTTGGGAATGGCAACGGCAGTATTCTGGACACATATCTCGCGAGAAAACGCGTCTTTCTCGACGAAGATGAGAGTAGACTCGTCAGAATTAGCTCGCGAAGCGCTCCGTTGTTCATACATTGTCGCGATAGTCCTTGATTTCGACAAACGTTCACACACCGCGTGTTAGAGAGAGAGAGAGAGAGAGAGAGAGAGAGAGAGAGAGAGAGAGAGAGAGAGAGAGAGAGAGAGAGAGAGAGAGAGAGAGAGAGAGGAAGAGTACGACGAGAACTTGACGCGAGACACAACTTGGATCACTTTTCTTATTCTTCGTAGCGTATTCGATATAAACGGTCGACGATGGGAGAGTGAAAATATCGGAGAATGTAAATAAGATTTATCTAGTAGCTATAGTGCCTATATCCTAAAGAGAGTAGATTGATAAATAGTACTCATCCCCCGATTTTACCCACCACCCTCGTGACTACCCTCCTCTATCCGCCGTCCATCTCCACTCAGTTACCTAGCAATTTTCCCCGCTGTTTCTCCTCCCTCGCGTAGAAGAAGAAGAAGAAGGACAAAGTCCTAAGCACTTTCTCTTATCCTGACGTATCAGCGAAAATTGAAACATTCCTCTCTCCGGAAAATCGCCGCGTGGAAACGCGAGTCCCAGTCCCCCGCTCTGTTCTACCCTTCCTCCACGCGCTTCTTCTCTTTCCGCTTCTCCCCCTCCCCCTCCCGCCCATTCTTCCCACATCCCAAAAAAATTGTTATAAAAGGAAAAATGGCCAAAAAATATTTTTTATTTTTCATACCCACTTGTATGTAGTAAGACATACAATATATTTTTTTGACACGGTTAAGGAGAAGACGGAGCTTGCTTAGGAGGGGTTAAGGAGAAGCCGATCGTCCCATCGGTCGTTCCCGATTTCTTCGAGATCACTCGAACATTCGCGTCACGTTTGCGCTCCTTGCTGTCGTTCCTTAATGCCCGAGAGAGAGGTAGAGCCAAAAAGATCGGGATGCGATCGTGGAACGCGACAGCGTCTCCTTCATTCCTTGCGTTTGGTGCGATATCTTACTGCGCTTAATATTAGACATTTTTGTAAAATGAAGTCGCTCTTCTGTTTTGCGAAAGAGAGAGAGAAAGAGAGAGAAGAGAGGAGAGAAAGAGAGAGAGTGAGAGAGAAAGAGAAAAAGGGCCAAAGTCCACGCGAAGAAACGTGCTCATGTGCGTAGTTTTGAGTTTCAGTACGCGAAACGCGTACTCTCATCGTGTTCCCTTGGATCTTTTCTGTCGGAGAGGTTAGAGGATGGAAGGAAGTTTAAGTACGTAATAGTTTTCGTATTTTCGACTTTAACGTCGCGCGAGATCCGACCGTTTACCGATTCGAAAGAACGTTGGAGAAGACGCTGAAATTTCCGGTACCTCGTTTGAACGCGGGCGATCCTGAAGCGCTCGAAGGTATATATCACGTCGTGAGCACGAGAAGCGCTTCGAGTTTCTCGACTATACTTTTATTCGTATTTAAGTGGCGCGCGTTAGCCTAGCGGAACATGTAAATGTTGAGACTGGATGATGAACGTACAAAAGAACTTTATTATATCTGTAAAACACACGAAGAGGACACACACGCTAAGTTAATCGCTCCACGATTCGATGCGTGCGATCGTCCGAGGAAGCGAGAGTACTCGTAGTAGCGCGCGATTGCTTCGATCGCCGCGAGAGAGCGACGGAGTATAATAATTCCTATGACGATTCGAATTGTCCGAAAGAGAGAGAATGAGAGAAAGAGCATCCGATTGCAATCCGGCAATGGCGTGATTCGAAGAGAAGAACAAAGAACACAGAAAAGGGAAAGAAAGGAGAAAAAAAGGAAATACACGATCTGTCATTAATTCCTCTGATATATTGATCATTAAAATGTATATTTTTTAAGTGAAACATTCAGACACTTTATTTTCACTCACACGCTCACTCTTCCCTCGACGTACACACACACACACACACACACACACACACACACACACACACACACACACACACACACACACACACACACACACACACATACACATGCATTCCTCGGTGATTCACGTCACTCGGCGTTATTTTTTTCATCCATCGATTCGCCTTCGCGTTCTTGGCGAGTTCGCGCCATTGTTTTACTATCACCCGATCGAGACACTGTACTCGTCACGTGTCTCGTCCGACCCGGATAAATAATTAATTGGTCGATCAATCACCGAGAGAGAGAGAGAGAGAGAGAGAGAGAGAGAGAGAGAGAGAGAGAGAGAGCGCGAGGAAGAGACTATCATAGAGTTTCGTCCGCACGTTACGATTGCCGGAGGATTCTGACAGGATCTTCGGCCATGTAAATATATATCACGCGGATACTTCTGTAAAATCGTGCTCATGTCGAAAACTGCGAGCTGTTCCGGCGGATCGGAGGCTAGCCGATTTCAGCCGCTCGACTTCGTCGCCATTGCGGGACGAGGACGAGGCGCGACCGGAAGCGCGAATTGTCACCGCGTCGACTCCGAGAGATCCGAATCTCTCGGCCTTCTCGCGGGGAGACACACACGTGGGCTCGACATAGGGTTGCCAGATGCGAAATGACCATTTCCAGGACATTTTGTAGGTTGAAAAATAGATTGTTGGAGAATTTTAGTTAAATTTTTGAAAGATTGAGGGGCGAGACGAGGGGGGGTTGAGAGATGCCGCTGTACACTCGCGACAAACGAATGCGTGAATCACAGGTAGCAGCAGAGAGAAGTTTGAACATGAACCAGTGCGATTGTATTTTTTATCACGCGAATGGGGCTTTGCTTGACATCAATTTTATCAGGTGGCGCGTCGAAAAATCGCGATCCTATAAATCGCGGTGACCGCTCTTCAGGTTTCTCTCTGCCACCAGTTAGAAGCGTGAATGTTATGATTATGATTTTGTTGAAATTCTCATTTTCCGCGACAGAGGACTTAAATTCCTGGACACGGGACAAGTTTGAGAATTCCGGGACATTCCTGGAAATCCCGGCCACCTGGCGACCCTAGCTCGACATGATCACGATTCGGATCACGCCAACGAGAGATCGTATATTTAATTTCGTATATACCATACACGCCGTCCTAGCGTGTCGACGTTCAAGTCGACCACGAGCGTATACACACGAGTACAAATGGCAGTTTTTTCATTTCGAGGTAACATCCAGATAGATATATAAATATAAATATATATGTACGTGTATATCGGCGAGAAGGCGACCAGGCGGGAACACCCGATCGATCTGTAGTCGCGGAAAGTAGTCACGGAACCGCGCGTCGCGAGACAGTCGTTTCCTTCTCCTCCTCCTCCTCCTCCTCCTCCTCCTCCGCGAAGGAAACGACGCGTCGACGTCGCCGTCGCCTTTGATTACGAACGCCGCGCGCGGCCGCGTTTTTATCGGTCTCGATCGGCGAGCGCCGCGAGCCGCAGGATCTCCGCTGACCGCGGTCGGTCCTGCGGAAAAACGTACACGTCGCTCTCGAGGATGATGCTGGCCGAATTGGATGTAATCGAGTACAAGAGAACGAGCGAGGAAAGCGGAAGCAGAAGGGGAAAATCTGCGAGAGGAGACACATACATACACTGAGAAAACACACACATATTGAGAAAAAATTGTATTAAAATTAAACAAATATTTGTTCGAATACGACTGTGAATACATTTACTTAAACTAAGCAATTATTTTCTAAAATTCCAGAAAAAAGTTTACATTCAGAGAGATAACCCCTGTATTTCATTTTAGACATTAGTCGCTTAATTTGAATAAATGTATTCACAGTCGTATTCGAAGAAATATTTGTTAAATTTTAATACAATTTTTTCTCAGTGTATGCGTACGCACGTACACGCGACTCCCAAAATCCTAAAAGCACTGCCGATCTCTGTCGTGATAATCAAAACGATCGAGGAGCCAGGCAGCATCCTCGCGGGACTCGCGTATCTCTTCCGGAAGAAGGACTCGCGGCGCTCCTCGCGATCGGGTCTCGACAGCCTGCCCTGCTCCTCCCCCCACCGATCCACACCGGTCGCCTGAGGATCCGCATTGTTGAGCCCGATTGATGTTTCATCGCGGTTCCGCGAATTCGGAATTAACGAGAGATGTTGAAGCTAAAGTACGAAAGAGCGCGGGCGTTATCGAGGGGGACGATTCTCGAGCCTCCGCGTATCCTTCGATCACGCGATATTACGGCAGTATTGTTACCGTATTAGTGTGTAACGCAGTCACTCGTTACGCCGTCATGTAACACAATCGCGATCTCGTTCGTGTCACCAGCATCTCTCGTTGATACCAGCTGGACGAAGACGGCGCGACACGACAAAGCGCGACGGACTCGATCGAGCAAGTCGTCGCGGACGAGACGGGAGTTTATAGCGTTAACGTTGTCGATGGCTGATTTTCCAAAATTTACGAAGCGTTATGAGGAATTACGCGAGTTTGCTCTTATAAGGAGAAAGAAAGAGCGAGAGAGAGAGAGAGAGAGAGAGAGAGAGAGAGAGAGAGAGAGAGAGAGAGAGAGTGTGTGCGCGCGTGCGTGAGCGAGCGAGAGAGAAATAGAGAGGAGTGATTATACCGTATGTAAGGATTATTCGTAAGTGATCTCAGCGAGAAGAGCGACGGCCGTAACAACGTTCCGGGATGCGTCGTCGCGAGAGGATCCTCGAGAGGACATTTTTGTATTACACGAGCAAGCGAGCGAGAGGGAACACACCGAGGCGCATTTTGCGATTTTGCGTTTCCTCTCGACAGGGAAGAGAACGTCCCGTAAATTGCGCCAGCGAGAGAGCACGAGAGAGGGAGAGAGAGAGAGAGAGAGAGAGAGAGAGAGAGAGAGAGAGAGAGAGAGGAGAGAGAGAGAGAGAGAGAGAGAGAGAGACGTGAACGAGACCATCAAGCTCAGTCGAAGGGAAAAGAGACGAGATGTAGATACTTAACCGGCAAACAGGCGTGATGAGATTTTTTTGAGCGCGACGAGACGAACAAGAGGAGAGAGAGAGAGAAAGAGAGAGAGAGAGAGAGAGAGAATACATTGAGGCGGCGAAGGAAAGGGGGCAATTTGTAATGTCGGTGCGGTGCGCGTCGGACTAACCATTATTAATCGCGTATACTTTACTGCAAATATATGAATTATTAATGGGGCAAGTCGTGAATAAAGAGAGGCAAATATACGGTGCAAAATGGAGCTCTGGACGGCTGCTGGTCATTCCTCCGCAACTCGCAACCCGCAACTGGATCCGGCTCAGGATCCGCGGAGGACTCGCAGGTTTCGCGACAGTTCGGCGCGGCGTCGCGCGTCCTAGCAAGTGTCACCCACGCCCGCTTATTTCTGAACGTTTGCGTATTTCGCACGGGGTATCGATCAAATACGGTAACCTCGACCGCCGAGGCTGTTCCCGACTAAGGGTTTGATCCGATACTCGGGGGTGGAAGGCACTTAGTCGAGTATCCTCGGCGACGAGGGCGGCGCGAGGACTTTGTCGCGTCCGGGAAACATGTCCGAGCGCCAGAGCGACTCGTACGACTCGAGACCGGTGACGTCCAAGAAGTCGGAGAGACCGCCGTTTAAGCTGTGCTTCTCCAGGGACCAGCAGATCGGAAGATCCAACGCCTGTGTGTCCAGGACGAACGGTATGCTCGTCGTATTCGACAGCGCAGTTTCGAGCCGCTCCGAGGGCCTTTTTTTCGCCAAACAGAGGTTTCTCATGTTTCTTCCGCCGAGAGAGTTTGTCGCTCCTTTCAATCGCTTTTCGAAAGGAAGGATAATGAGTCCTGAAAGCAACGGTGGAGAAAACGGTGGAAACGGCGTTTTACGGACTCCTCGCGCGAAGTTATGACTATTGGGAGGTTGAATTAGTTCTGGTCCTTAGCAGTAGATGGCTAACGAGTTAATGGTTAGTACGAATGTTGAAATCTGGCAACACTGATAGATTTGATATCTCTCTGTGATATATGACAGTTTGTTACTGATAGTTTCATTGTTTATACGCGTCCAAAAGGATCGTACAAAATTGCGTCTTCGATATTCATTAGCTTTTTTGTTTGAATTGAAAAAATCGGCAACTGAAGGTCATGAAATGTTTGTTACAATTTATGGCGATCAAGCTTCATCGTATTCCAACTGTAAATTTTTGTTTCAACGCTTCAAAAATGGTGATTTCGATTCGAGTGACAAAGAACGTACTGGCGAAGCAAAAGAATTCGGAGATTCTGAATTGCAAGCATTATTGAATGAAAACACTGCTCAAACGGAAAAAAATTGGCTGAATAACTTAACATTGATAAATCAACAATTTCTAAACGCGTCATGGGAAAAATTCCAAAGGAAGACAAATAGGCATGAATTGAACGCATGAATTGAACGAAAGCGCAAATCGTTCGAATATCGTCGTGTCTTTGCTTGCCAGACAGAAAAAAAAAGTTTTTTGTGGCGAATTGTAACTGGAGATGAAAAGTGGATTTTGAAATCCAAAGCGAAAAAATCATGCAACTTTGACACCGATTTGGAAGCTTCTTATAATGTTAAATTCATATATGTCACATCATTAAGTTAACAAAAGTCAGGGCGCTATTATAAAAATATATTCTTGAGACTAAAAAGAGCAAAAATGTCTAGTACCACTTTTTCTTCTAACAAATAGTTAGCGAGATATCGTGAGTTAAATATTGAAAAAGTTATCAAGTTTTTCTTAAATATTTTAAAAAATATTAGGTAAATAAAAAATTGTCTCAGACCAGAGTTGTTTAAATTAATTGGTAGAAAAAGATGGTGTAATAAAAAATTGGGGTATCCGTTTAAGATTTTTATGTTGTATGTCTTGACTGGACTTTTTAAGATTATCCCAAGGTCAAATTCATAGCGTCAGAAAATAGATCCTTTGAAACCCTACAATCTTTGTCTGAAATATTTTTCTCTAAAATGTCGTGTTAACGAAAAAATCGGGTGACTCGGGTGGTCTGAAACACCCGGTGTAAACTTATACATATCACATTTTAAAGAAACATAAATTCAATTCGTTAAATTGTGATTGCACATATGCTATATATTTGGTGGGATATGGAAGATATGGTGTACTATGAGCCTAAAACCGAAGGAAACAGTTACGGGGAAGTGATGCCAGCAACAAATGAACAAATTGAATGACGGAATGATGCAAAAAAGGCCAGCGATAGCCAGCAATAGACGCAAAGTGATTCTTTTGCGCGATAATGCTCGTCCACATGTTGCTTCGATCATTAAACAAACATTGTCAGAGCTCAAATGGGAAATCCTTCTGCAGCCAGCGTACTTAACCTAGTAAACACAAAGTGTCATCGATGTTATTAACAGTTGCTTTGTTATATAACAAAGTAACGGTTACGTAACATACCATACGATTTAGCTGACATTGTAACATCGATGATTTACTGGGAAGTTTCTGGCAGACCAGCAACGATACGAATGCAACGTACGATGCCTGATATTTAATAAGCATACAGTTATTCTGGCTGTATTTGGAAAACGCGCTATTATGTTGTCTATCTTTATCGTTCCTTAGGTGTAAACAATGATAAAATAAAGATAAAATGACGCAATAGTCTCCTCACCGTACGCAACCTGTATTTTTTCCAAAATAATTGTACGCCTGTTGGACATTTCAGTCGCGCGTCGCCAGTTCTTATTTATTAACATAACCGTTCAGCTTCCAGACCTAGTACCAGAGTTGGGAAAGTTACTTTGTAAAAGTACCCAGTTACAATTGCAGTTTTTTCACTGAAAAAGTAACTAATTAAAAAGTTACAATTACAAGTTACTGACCTTCAAAAATAACATGTTACAGTTACAACTATTTAGAAAGTAACGAGTCGTTACTATTCAGTTACTTTTTTACAACAATTGTGCTATTATTTTAAATCTCGTAATTGTGTAAATTCCTCCCATTTTATATAAAAACAGTATGTCAATTATTATATTCCTCATATTGTATATAATTTTTACAAATTAGATTTATTAATTGAAGTAAGTAATTCATATTTATTCTTTAAGACTATTAATAACAATTATAAGAAAGTGAATGAATTTGATGAAAATAATAAATATTAAAAACACTAAAACTAATCTTGACATCAAAAATTAGATTTTTTCACTAAACAAAACACATTGGTATTTTATAAATAAAGACTTACCCTCGTATGTTTTCTTAAATTTGCAGTTGAAGTTTTACTTGCATGAATAACTTTTTGCCAGCGCATGTTTTGCAGAGAAATCCTAATTGTTCTTATTTCCAAAGTTTTGCTGTAACTTGAATATTTCTGCATATGCTAGCCATGCTAGGCATTTTACAATTCTTCTTTGAAGATTGAGATGTTTTATCCATTGTTTTTTTTATATAACAAACCATGCAGCGCAAACCACTTCACGCTGAACGATTATGTTAACAAATAAGGACTGGCGACGCGCGATGGAAATGTTTAATAGACATACAATTTTTTTTTAAACACATACAAGTTGCGTTTGGAGAGGAGATTATCAGCGCTATACCATACCGCCATTTTATCTTTATTTTATCCTTGTTTACATCTAAAGAACGATAAAGATACGAAGTGTGTGAGAAAAGTAATGAGATTGATTTTTTATCTACCAAAGATTTTATTTTTTTCAAACAACAATACACAGTCTGTCCCAGATCCAATGAGACTGGTCTAAAAAAAAATACAAAGCGTTTATTATTTTTATTTTTTATTCTTGTTTATTCAAAATAGTCTCCTTCTGAGTCAATACAGCGCTGGAAACGTTCAACAAATTTCTCGAAACATTTTTTATACTCATCGGCTGGAATGGCCTTTAGTATGGCGGTCGAAGTCTTTTGGATGATGGGGATTCCCGAAGGAATCCGGCAAGCATGTCAGCCATTGTAACTGGTGATGAAACGTGGTGTTTTCAATACGAGCCAAAAACAAAACGTCAGAGTGCGGCATGGAAGTCACCAGAAGAGCCAAAAGAGAAAAAATTACGCTTTCAGAAGAGCAAAATCAAGACAATGCTGACCGTTTTCTTCGATTCAAAGGGAATTGTTCACAGTGAATTCGTCCCAGAAGGTCAGACGGTGAACGCAGAATATTATCTGGGAGTTCTACAACGATTGTGGGCCAGAATTCGACGAGTTCGGCCGGAATATCGAGAGCCAGGCAGTTGGTTTTTGTTGTACGATAATGCACCATCGCACAATAGAACAACACAGAATTGCCAGATCGCTCGCAGTGTTGTCAGTCTCGTTACTTTTCTCAAATACCTCGTATGATGACTTGATAGCGCGTTTTCCAAATACAGTCAGAATAACTGTTTGCTCATTGGATATCAAACGGCGCACGTCGCGCGTTATCACGCTGGTCTGCCGGAAAAGCTTAAGTTTGAAATATATGAAATAACTATTAAAATAATTATTACATTAGTTACTAGTTATTCAACAAATGTAATTAAGTTAAGTTACAGTTACAGATGGAAAAAACGGAACGTTCGTTACAAGTAACGAGTTACTTCCCAATCTTGCTTAGCACCATCTAATTACCATCTACTCTAGTCGATGCGACATGCTTTGGTAGACACGCACTTCAATAATTAATTATAATTACGAGGATGTGCAAAAAACTGGGTGTCTGATTGGATCGTTTCGAAAGACAGATCGTTCTATCATCGCGGAATCGCTATTGCCAGGAGGATGGGAAAAAGTCACTGCTAACGACGGAAAATATTTTGATTCATGTAAATCTAACTATTTCTTCAAAAAAAAAAGATACAAAAATTGACAAAATAAGACCAAAATTAATTGAACCTCCCGATAGATCCGCAATCGTTCCTCAAAGACTTGTCTGAGGAAGAGGAAGGTTCCTTCGCCCGGACTCTGTAAAACCGCAGAGTCCGTCTCTCGGCCATTGTCGCGGAATCTTTTCTCGGCGATAAGATCGCTCGGTTATTATTATTTCTCGAGTCGGCGAGAAGCTCGCGATGGATTGCCGCGGCCGGCACGTCGCGGATCTGCGCGCGACGCGAGCACGGTCGGACAGAATGGTGAGATCGCGACGTGTGTGAAATTGGCCCCGCACTTTTCGAATTTCGTATTTTTTCGAATTGTGCTACATTGTGCTACGTTTGTGCCGTATTGTGCCGCAATCCGCAACTCTGTAACTCTGTAACTCGAAGCGTATTCAAGAAAACTAAGAAAAACAAAATTTTTGGTAGCCCCGTACTTTTCGAATTTTGAGTTTCTCTTCACTGTGCCGTATTGTGCAATGTTTGTACTGATTTGTGCCGCAAAGGCGAGATCGATAACTTCAATAACAATGATTTGACGATGATTGAACGAAATTGAATAAAAACGAAATTATACTAGCCCCGCACTTTTGACCAAATAAATCCAACTTTTTTTGAGAGATTGGTACTAATTTGTGCTATGTTGTGCCGTTGGAAGAAACTCGATATCCGCTTCCGTTTAGTAGATAAAAAATATTGAAATTAAAATATAAAGTTACAAATAATTATTTTTATTATAATTTATTTGTGCTACTCGAATACGATAAGAATACGCACAAATATTTTTGAAAAACCACATGGGTGAAAAAATATTCTATTGGAGGTGGGGGTTAACAAACAATTTCACATTTTTGAATTTCTAAAAATTGTGCTGCATTGTGGGGACGAAGTGCAATACTTTTTCCTAATGACAAAATGTCGTCAGACTAATAGATACCGCAGCACAGGTAACGAAGGGAAACAGATTTTAGGAATTAAAAACTTCACACCCCGTAAGAGACAGAGACAGAGACAGAGACATCTTCTTCCTATTTTTATATTAGATTTATAAATTACTGTCTCGGGATCTATGTCGCGCCATGTTTCTTGTGGGATAACAAGAATAAAACATAAATTCCTATCAGTGCCCGAATGATCACTCAGGTTTTCGTCTTCAGTGGATTCAGTATCTGATATGGTATTAGTAGGCTTAATCAAATGATATTTTAAAAACTGATCATACAATCCATGTCTATTTTGTAATATAATGGTATAAATATATTTTTGTGATATTTTTCTGTCTAATAAAGTACTCAATTCTTTATATTATTGCGCTCACTCTCGCACTCGCGCTTGCACTCAGGCAAATGAAAACACTCGCGTAAGAATAACAAGCTTTACTATTCACTTATTTGTAATTTTATATTTTAATTTTATATTTTTTATCTACTAAACGGAAGAGGATATCGAGTTTCTTCCAACGGCACAACATAGTATAAATTAGTACCAATCTCTCAAAAAAAGTTGGATTTATCTGATCAAAAGTGCGGGGCTAGTATAATTTCATTTTTATTCAATTTCTTCATTGTTATTAAAGTTATCGATCTCGCCTTTGCGATACAAATTAGTACAAACATTGCACAATACGGCACAGTAAAGAGAAACTCAAAATTCGAAAAATGCGGGGCTACCAAAAATTTTGTTTTTCTTAGTTTTCTTGAATACGCTTTGAGTTACAGAGTTGCGGATTGCGGCACAATACGGCACAAATGTAGCACAATGTAGCACAATTCGAAAAAATACGAAATTCGAGAAGTGCGGGGCCAACTTCACACACGCGTGAGATCGCGCGAATGACAAACTGTACGATTGCAGCGGACTTCGTCACGCCGAAATTCTACTCGAGAGAGCTCGAGGAAATGCAGCGAAACACGGACGTTACCAGGACGGTCGAGAAAATCACCGCAGCGGAAAACAAAGACCCAAGGGACGCGTACAGATGGCCATTGTTAACCAGCCACACGTAATACCTGCAAAATCCTCTTATTCCTTCGCCTCTCATTCGCTTCAGCTTGGTGTGCGTGTGATTTTCAGGTATGGCTGGTGGCACGACAGAGGCATATATCCCAGGGACCCGCGTTTTAACTTTCATAAAAAAACGTCGGACCTGGTAAGCTTTCAGATGAAGATTTACGCCGAGGACCGAAAGTTGAAGGGCCTTCAGCAGTGAACGATAGCAGCTTCGACTGTGGAATTTTTGTTCACCATTGTGAAATTGCTTGCACTTGTCATGCGCACGCAATAAGCGTCTTATATTTAGTCGCTCGAACAATGATAGTACAATAAACCGTTGTTCTTCTCTCGAAAACATGGAAGTAATGCTTGACTCGTGACGTCGCTCGGCGATGTCTCACATCTTTGTTTTCTTGATTCCGCGTTAAGATATACAGGGTAAAGGAAAAGTATGGAAATCCTTAAAAATCTCGAAAGATGTAAGTTTTACAGAAAAGATGTAAGTTTTACAGAAAAGTGTTTCAGACAAAAGTTATAAAGCCCAAAACGATGTATTTATTGATCTTATCAGTTTGATCTTGAGTGGCATTGCCAATATCAGGTCAAGGTCAATTTATATTTTTTAAACAGAAACCTCAATTTTTTATTATATCATCTTTTTCTACCAATTAATTTGAACAACTTTTGTCCGAAATATTTTTTTATTTACCTAATATGTTTAGAGATGTTTAAGGAAAACTTGATGACTTTTTCAATACTTAACTTACGATATCTCGCTAACTATTTGTCGGAAGAAAAAATGGTACTAGATTTTCTTACCCTATTTGGTCTCAAGAACATATTGTTACAATAGTTCCCTAACTTTTGTTAACTTATCGACATTTGGAAATTTCAAAACCATCAAATTAACAAAAGTCAGAGTGCGATTGTAACAATATATTCTTAAGACCAAGTAGAGTAAAAAATCTTATAGCATTTTTTTTTCCGACAAATAGTTGGCGAGATATCGTAAGTTAAATATTGAAAAAGTTTCCGAGTTTTCCTTAAATATCTCAGAAAATATTAGGCAAATGAAAAAATGTTTCAGACAAAAGTTATTAAATTAATTGGTAGAAAAAGATGATGTAATAAAAAATGGGGGTTTTTGTTTAAAAAAAATAAGTTGACCTTGGCCTGACCTTGGCAACGCCACTCAAAGTCAAACTGATAAGATCAGTAAATACATCGTTTCGAGCCTTATAATTTTTGTCCGAAACATTTTTCTATAAAACTTATATCTTTCGAGATTTTTAAGGCTTTCCATCTTTTTTCCTCACCCTGTATAAATTTTTCGCTCTGTATTTTAGACACCAGAGTGAATAGATTCATTCGTTAATCAGCACTCGTAATTGAGAACGTACGAGAACTAATTATTTGTGCTTCGAAACGACGATTGCGAAAACTGCACTCATCGTTCGATGTAAATCTGCGAAAGTTGCAGCCTCCAAACAATTCAACGGTTTCAGCGAATACGCTGTCGAGAGTGAGTTAGTGTATCGATATAAACACAAAAGAAACGGAAAGATTTCGCTACACAAGTTCCGAAGATTCTTCGGTCGTCCTCGGGTACATAAAGGCGAAGGTAGGTTTCCTTAATCACAATAGTAACCAATAGCGTGAGCGTATCTAGTAACGCCGGACGAATGGTAGGGCTGAGAGATTTCGAGCAATAGTTCGGCTTCGAAGTCATTCTATCAGTGTCGTCGAAGCATATCATATTCCTTCTCGAAGTGTGACTAATGATCAAGTAACATCGGAAAATAGACAACAACATTGATACAATATACAATTGGACAATATACAGTTCAACAATCGTTTCGTCGTGCAAATTTATCAAGTTCGGTGAAAAATCGTCGAACGCGTGTGGCGGCAAGACCAACAAGTCATTGTGACGATGTATGAGCACCCTAGACATCCTCTCTCGGAGACTATGAAATGGTGGAAGCTAATCGAAGACGAGGAATTTGTGGAAAACATATTAAGAAAATACACTTCGAATATAAAATATCCACATAGCGATGAGAAACAGAAGGAGGACAATGGAATACGCGCGAATCTAGATCAAAAGTCTGCGCCATCGTCTGTAGCATCTGAGACCGAACGCCAGGATAAATATTCGTGTAAAAAAAATAGACGGGCAATTGCCGGGATTAAGGTGAAATGCGAGTACACGTATCCCGAATATAAATACACATGTTCGCATCCTTCGCTGCGCATGCCGCTAATTGAGCCGAAACCTATTGTCTTTCCCGACCTCAATGTACCGGAGTTACGTCGGTCCAAAACAGCGTCACAAGCATCAACAAGCGTTTGTGAGAAAGTTGCGCCTTTAAAGCCGTCAGATAATACGTTGGAAAATTCGAAAGATGAAACGCCAACACATAAATTCCTAAACCTCGAGAATAAAAAATCGGTGCCTAATATCTTGGCATCATTTTATGAGTCGCCAAACAGATATTTGATTGTAGAAGACATGAGGAAGGTCTCAGGACTCCGTAATATGTCCTTGGAGGAAGAAATCAATAGTTGTGATCAGTTTATGGAATTTAATACCTTCGCTATTTATCAGGAGATGCCTATAGAACAGAAGCAAAACGGGAAGGAACAAGAAGAGTCAAAGATTAAGCCGCTTTGTAAATTGGAACTTGGACAACCAACTGCTACTAATTATAGAACTATTTTTTACCTCAAAGGAACGATAAAATGCCTGTTTTGCAAAGAAAGGATGAAGGCTGGCTTCAACATCCGCGGCGATAGCAGAACGGTAATGTACGGTGAGTAATTTTCCGTTTTAACTAGTTATATACATATTTGTGATATTAAATTTATACGATATTAAATTTATGTAGGGTTGGGAAGTAACTCGTTACTTGTAACGAAGTTACAGTTATTCTTTCTTTTTTTTAGTAACTATAATTTAACTTTATTCCGTTTTTCCCATCTGTAACTGTAACTTAACTTATACCCGTATTCATAGTCTTTCCTTACTTTAAGGATGGAGGAAGCCTCGATGAAGGATTCCTTGAATCTCCAAGACTATCTTATTTCATAAATGGATTCCGACTCTTCCTTCCAGAAGGAAGGAAGAAAGGAAAGCTGCGTTCCGATATTCACTGTCAGTACTGAAACTCTATAATATACGTGACACGAGCTATAGATTTTTAGTAACAGTGGATATCGGAACACAGATATAACTTAGCATCGGTTTAGTAGCAGTGCATATTGCAATATGGATAAAGATAATAAAAACGTAAAAAAACATTGTACGGAGCAAGAGCGAATGCTCTTGGCGCAGCTTATCGCTGAGGAGGTTATCGAAAAAAAAAAAAAATCCTTCGTCAGAATCATTTAAAAATTCGTTGTCCATTATCCTTTTTTTCTTTTATATATTTTCAGTTTGAAAGCGCGATATCACAAGTAAATTGTAATGGAACAAAAGTAAGTGTTGCAGGTTATGTTTAGTTTATTCTGCACATCATGTGCTAAAAACTTATTACACTTCTGTGCGTTAGTTCAGAAGTGCAACGAAAACGAACAAATTTAAGATAACATTTCCTCCTCAAGGAAGCTCGTGATTTCCCTTGAGATAAGCGAGCTAGTAAGGCTCCTTGTTTGGTCAAAGAAGGATATAAAATGTAAAATGAGGATTAGGCATAAAGGAATCCTTATTTCTCAAGGAAGGACTATGAATACGGGTATTAGTTACATTTGTTGGATAACTAGTAACTAATTTAATAGTTACTTTAATAATTACTTTATATATTTCAAACTTAAGTTTCCGGCAGATCAGCATGATAACGCGACGTGCGATATCCAATAAGCGTATAGTTATTTTGGCTGCATTTGGAAAACGCGCTATTGTGTCATCTATCTTTATCATTGGCCGCGTTCAGCAGAAAAAATGCTTACTAAGCGCTTAGTGATTATCGTTTCTGATTGGTTCATTCCCCTGGATTTGTTAAAGATCTAAAAGAATACTCCAATAATAGATAATAATCACTAAACGCTTAGTAAGCAGCTTTTTCTGCTGAATGCGGCCATTCATCAGATGTAAAACAAAGATAAAATGACGCAATAGCGTCTGATAGTCCTCTCCGAACATAACCTGTATTTTTTTCAAAAAAATTGTACATTTATTAGACATTTCTGTCGGGCGTCGCCAGTCCTTATTTGTTAACAAAACTTATGTTCAGCGTGAAGTGCGCTGCGTGATTTCAGTTATATAAAAATTTCAAGCAATGGATAAAACATCTTAATCTTCGGAGAAGGATCGTAAAATGCTATGGCCAGCATATGCAGAAATATTCGAATTACAGCGAAAACTTGGAAACGAGAACAACTGGGCATTTTTCTGCTCAATTGTTATTAATAGTCTTAAAGAATAAATATGAATTGCTTACTTAAATTAATGAATTTAATTTGTAAAAATTATATACATATATAATATGAGGAATATAACAATCAACAAATTACTTTTATATGAGGTTATAAAGAATTTATTTCAATGAATTACAAAATTTAAAATAATAGCACTATTATTGTAAAAAAGTAACTGAAAAGTGACTCGTTACTTTCTAAATAACTGTAATTCTAATATGTTATTTTTGAAGGTCAGTAACTTGTAATTATAATTAGTTACTTTTTCAGTGAAAAAAACTGTAACTGTAACTAAACTGTAACCAAACACTTTTACAAAGTAACTTTCCTAACCTCGAATTTATGTAACATCATGAGATACGTAGCGTTGGATCTATTGGATCAATACGTAAAGTTAAGTTTCGTAGGAGCTGCGATTTTCACGGCAATTGTAATGTACGTTTATTTATGTGCAGATGAGATAAAAAATGATTACGTATTAACCTATAGACAGAAAGACGTCACAGGTTTGATCCACCGCTCATGTAAGATGCTAAAGAAGGTGGATTGCAACAATAACGAACCGTATCTGTATTGTACGTTATCGCATGGGAAGAAATCAGAGAAGGTGCATACGATGGTACGTACATTGCGAGAAACCATATGCAGGGTGTCACAGACCACCCGTACCACTCGTACCCGTTTTTGTCGGAAGAAAAAATAGTACTAGACTTTTTTTATTCTATTTGGTCTCAAGAATATATTGTTACAATAGTGTCCTAACTTTTGTTAACTTGTCGACTTTTGGAAATTTCGAAATCATCAAATTAATAATTAAAAGTCAGGGTGCTATACTTAACGTAGTAATGTATTATGAAAATATGAAAATGGCCACGAAAATTACTAGCGGGAAAGATTTTAAGACTTTCACATAACGTTATTTTTTATTACACTTTTATAATGCATTACCACGTTAAGTACTTATATCTATTTGTACTAGGGTCTTAGCTCAAGCAGCCGAAGAGTCGACCACTTGAATTTGCCGATAACAACACGATGCATATACTAGGTGCGCAACTAAGTTTTCGGGTTTTTTTATCAATGAAAAATGGAAAATTCCAAGAGAAATACAAAAAAACGGTTTATTCAAAGTATCGTCCCTCGCTAGCTACACATTTTTGCCATTTCTCTGGCAAGACATGAATACCGCGACGATAAAACGACGCGTCTTTGGACCGAAACCATTCATCCGACCAATTTTGCACTTGTTCGAAATTGGCCAAGTGCTGCCCAGCCAAGCTATGCGCCATCGACCAGAACAAGTGATAATCGGAAGGGGCCAGGTCTGGCGAATACGGCGGGTATGGTAGCAGATCCCATTTCAGCGTTTTGATGATGTCCTGGACGATGGAAGTGCGATGGTACGGAGCGTTGTCGCGCTGCAATATCACTCGTTCGTGTCTCGTGTCCCATTCTGGCTGTTTTTCGAGCAATGCATGGTTCAAATTGATCAGTTGTTGTCGGTAGCGATGCCCATTGACAGTTTCGCTCGGTTTCAGCAGCTCATAGTACACGATTCCTTTCTGGTCCCACCAAACGCAGAGCATTGTCTTCTTTCCGAAGCGATTTGACCGTCCCGTCGATGTTGATGCTTCGCCAGGTGAAAGCCACGATTTTTTGCGTTTGGGATTCTCGAAATCCACTTCTCATCGCCAGTAACAATTCGATGCAGGAAACTCTTTCCTTCATGCCGCAAAAGCAAAATTTCGGAAGTGGCTCTTCGATTTTCCATCTGTCTCTCAGTCAACTCATGCTGCACCCATTTTCCTTCTTTTTGAATTTTGCCATGACATGTAAACGTTTGGAAATACCTTGGCGAGTCATGTTTAATGCCTCCGCAAGTTGATCTTGTATTTGCGTATCGTCTTCATCCAATAACGCTTGCAGATCGGCGTCCTCAATTGTTTTTGGTCTTCCGGAGTGCTCCTTGCCCTCAGTGTCGAAATCGCCATTTCTGAAACGTTTAAACCAATCTTCACAGGTAGTTTTCGATGGTGTATGTTTGCCGTAGGCCTTCTCAAGCAAACGACGCGCTTCATGTGTCGACTACATGTGTCGTTAGCGCCATCCATGTGTGAAACCCGGAAACTTAGTTGCGCACCTCGTAATATCTATACGCGACTCAATTAACTATAGTGCTATCTAGGTAATGCTAAATTGTGTGGTAAAAAGGGTGCGTTCCGTTTCACGCATATGCGCGCATGTTTTATAGTATACGTGACATAAACTGTAGATAAATGCGCGCATATGCGTGAAACGAAACGCACTCAAAGTTATATCACTTACTCGTGTACATCCTGTATATATATATATATATTGGGTCTGGGAAAAAGTTCGTGGCGTTTTTCCCGATAGATGGTGTCAATTGCAAATAGCTCAGGAAACACAGATCGCAGCGACATCACTAAATGCTAGTTGCAAAAGGTGACACTTCGAGCGTTACTTTGAGTGTATAAACATCGAAATTGGTGCAGTGGTTGGAAAGTTTTTTGCGTTTGAAAGTGGAGAAAAGTAATGAAAAATTGCGCTATATTTTGCAATATTATTACGACAAAGGGAAGAACGCTGCGCAGGCTTGTGAAAAAAATTTGTGCTGTGTACGGTGAAAGTACTTTATCAAAATCTGCTGCGCGGAAATGGTTCGCTCACTTTCGTTTTGGTAATTTTGATGTGAAAGATGAGTCACGCTCTGGTCGTCCAATCACTGAAAAAGCTGATGAAATTCTTGAAAAAGTCCAGCAAGATAAGCATATCAGCAGTGTCGAATATTGGTATGGAGCTAGGCATTGACCACTGTTTTGAACCATTTACATAAAGCTGGCTACAAAAAGAAGCTCGATGTATGGGTTCTCATGAGTTGAGCGCGAAAAACATGATAGACCGAATTCAAGACATCTGCGATGCGCTGCTGAAACGGAATGAAATCGAGCCATTTCTGAAACGTGTCATAACCGGTGATAAAAAATGGATCACGTACGACAATCGGAAGCGTAAAAGATCGTGGATAAGGGATGGTGAGCCGTCACAAGCGTTCGCGAAGCCAGGATTAACGCCGAAAAAGGTGATGCTGTGTATGTGGTGGGACTGGAAGGGAATCGTCCACATGAACTACTTCCAGTTGGTCAGAGGATTGATTCTCAACTCTACTGTGAACAACTACAGAGATTACGCCAGGCAATTGAAAGAAAACGGCCCGAATTGAATAATAGGAAAGGTGTTGTCTTCCATCATGACAACGTCCGACCACACACTTCTTTGATGACCCGTCAAAAATTGCGAGAGCTTAATTGGGAAGTTTTGATGAATCCACAGTGTAGTCCAGACATAGCACCCTCTGACTATCACTTGTTCCGATCTCTGCAGAACTCTCTCAATGGAATTAAGCTGGATTCAAAAGAAGCATGTGAAAACCACTTGATTCAGTTTATCAACCAGAAACCATAGAAGTTCTTCATCGATGGCATCATGGCTCTACCCGAAAAATGGAGAAACATTGTCGATAATAATGGAGCATATTTGGTTTAAATAAATTCATTTTCACACTATAAGAAACCAGTTGAATTTTACTAAAAAAACGCCACGAACTTTTTTCCAGACCCAATATATTTATACAAATGGAATTATATATATATTAACAATCATTATATTTCTAAATTATATTACCAATTATATTACCAAAAAAAACAAGATAGAAAGAAGAAAAAGACACAAAAACCATGTTTATATTTTAATTATCAGGTTGTCTAAAAAGTATTGAGCCTTTTGCGCACGAGATAGCGTTAGTGTCCTAAATCTCAGGGTATATAAGTCGCAGCAGGTCAGGCCTAACGTCATTTGACAGCTGACAGTTAAAGCTAGTAGACGTATAAAAAGTGTTGGAATTCTTATAATCAGACATAAGGTATTGCATTGTGAAGATGAGTGAACTTTCCGTAAAACTGCGCTACATTTTACAATTTTATTTCGATAAAGGCGCAAATGCTGCGCAGGCCCGTGAAGAAATTTGTGCTGTTTATGGGCAAGATACGTTATCAAAAGCAACAGCCAAAAGATAGTTCAGTCGCTTTCGTTTTGGAAATTTCGATGTCCAAGATGCTTCTCGCAGTGGGCGACCAATCACAGAAAAAGTGGATGATATTCTGGCAAAAGTCGAGCAAGACCGGCATGTAAGCAGTCATGACATCGCCAATGACCTAAACATCCATCACCAAACAGTGTTAAACCATTTGGAGAAAGCTGGCTACAAAAAGAAGCTCGATGTTTGGGTGCCACATGATCTGACTCAAAGAAATTTACTATCTGCAGAATTTCTATCTGCAAGTTTCTACTGAAACATAACGAAATCGAACCATTTCTGAAGCGGTTGATCACGAGTGATGAAAAGTGGATAACCTACGACAACAATGTGCGAAAAAGATCGTGGTCGAAGCGAGGAGAAGCTCCACAGTCTGTGGCAAAGCCCACACTGACGCCCAGGAAGGTTATGCTGTATGTTTGGTGGGATTGGAAGGGCATCGTGCATCACGAGCTGCTACCGCCAGGCAGAACGATAGACTCGAATCTGTACTATCGACAATTAGCGCGATTGCACGACTTAAAAGAAATGGCTGGAACTGGTCAACAGAAAGGGTGTCGTATGCCACGCTGACGACGCCAGACTGCATACATCTTTAACGACCCGTCAGAAATTGAGAACTTGGCTGGGAGGTTTTAATGCCGTCCACCGTATAATCCGGACTTGGCACCGTCAGACTATCATTTGTTTCGGTCTCTGCAGAACTCCTTGAATGGTGTTAAGTTAGTTTCAAAAGAGGCCTATGAAAACTACGTGTCACAATTTTTTGACCAGAAACCACAGAAGTTCTATAGCGACGGGATTATGGTATTGCCGGAAAAATGGCAGAAAGTCATCGAACAAAATGGTGCATATGTGATTTCATAATGTTATTTTCAAATAACAATAAATGTATTCTCAATTTTGACCTCCAAAGGCTCAATACTTTTTAGACAACCTAATATATTTACATTTATATTTTAATTATATATTTATATTTTGATATTTTAATTTATAGCTTAATAATTTTTATAAGAACGAAAAAAAAGAAGGAAGAGATTGCTTTCTATCTTTCCTCCTTCTAACCCAAAAACTAAAATACAAAACAAAAGCAAAAAACATTTATATTATTTAGCAATTTGTAGAAGGACGAAAGAAAAGAAAGTAAGTAGTGCAAAAAAGTCTAGAAACCATTGTTTCTTTCGACAAATATTTAGCGAGATATCGTAAGTTAAATGTTGAAAAAGTTACCAAGTTTTCCTTGAATATCTAAAAAAATATTAGGCAAATAAAATGTTTCAGATAAAAGTTGTTAAAATTAATTCATAGAAAAAGATGATATAATAAAAAATTGGGGTTTTCATTTAAAAAAAGTAATGATCAGTGAATATTTCAAAAGTAGCGCCATCCATAAATAAAATGATATAGTTGTTTTATGTCTCCCTTGAAACCAAACAACTTTTATATGAAACATTTTTTTCTGAAATGTCTTTTTTTAAAGATATTTTACCGGTCCGGGACTTTTTGGATACCCTGTATATACAGACTGTTCCATTTTAAATGCCGCCATAAATATTTTGAAAAATATAAAAGATATGGGAAAACATTTTAGACAAAAGTTGTTCAAATTCATTGGTAGCATGAGACGATATAATAAAAAATTGGGGTTTCCGTTTAAGAAAAATGATGATCAGTGAATATCTTGAAAGTGGCGTCATCTATAAGCAAAATAATGCCGCTGCCTTATATCCCCCTTCAAACTGAATAACTTTTGTCTAAAACGTTTTTCCGTATCTTTTATATTTTTCGAGATATGCCTACGGTGTTAAAAATGGGACACCCTGTATAAATATAAGAAATTCTTCATCACGAACTATGAGAACTTCATGATTTCCGATCTGCATCATTTTCGCGAGTTTCCCAGCGGAAATAAAATTTCAACCTTTTCCGAAGTTCACATGTTGCTTTAACGTTAGTCGTAAGGATTATGATTATAATGCCGAGATAAAAGTTCTATTAATCATAAGCAATGTTGATTTCTTATTCACAGAACATGAAATACAAGTTCGGCCTGCTGCTAATCATGCTTGCATTGACCCTACTTCCGATAAGTCTAAGTGTGACCCAATACTCAATCCTCGATATGCTAGGGATAAATCTAAAACTAGAGGGCTTTAAGGAAGGAATGTGGACCATTATTTCCTTGTTCTCTCTGTATTACCTGTTCTTTGCATCCTTAATCGCGATTGATTTATACAGGTAATTATATGGATACGTTTAAATCTATTCTACTATTTTCGCGACATTCAAGTACTTTATAATCGAAGGATCCGTCGACGCTCTTATTAAAGAAGCATACGATTATAAATCTACCTAATCTAAGTAATTGGCACAATCGACTAGATCCGAATTTAATTATCAGTGGCGGAAAAACTACATAACTTTCGTTGTTCAATGAGCTTCACTACGCATCTGTACCCAGAAAGAGAGTTTATTTCTTCAGCGATTCTCTGAGGATAAATTTTCGCATCTGATACCATATGCTCTGATATTCATCGAGATAAGAACGTTGTAATCTTTTCGCCATTGACTATATATATCGTCAAAATAAAAGATTGATAAGCGTTAATTTTATCAGACATAGAGTACTCGTACATTTGGCGATATAATCTTATGCAACAAAATAATTTTTTATCTTATCCAATTTTACAGATACTACAAAAGAAAGAATGACGTAGAGACGATACACTTGACTCTATGGGATCTTCCGCCTTTCATAAAGAAACTCTAAACTTATTATAACTTAGAGAATAAGCTTATTGTTCGGGAAATAATATACACATAGATATATACATGTATATACACACATAAATACATACACACATATATATATTTAAATATATATATATATGTATGTATGTACGTTTAGACATGTATGTATATATGTATGCATATATGTATGTAAAATATTCGTATATGTATTGGAATATACAGGGTGTGGCAAAAGTCTAGAAACACTCAAATATCTGTTAAAAATGAATTTTAGAAAAAAACGTTTCAGACAAAAGTTATAAGGTTTAAAAAGACGCATTCAATGGTAATATCCACTTGACCTTGAGTAGCGTTGCTAAGGTCAGGTCAAGGTCAACCTGATATTTATAAATAGAATCCCTCACTTTTTATTACATATTCTTATAGTTTACCTCGAGAGCTTTTTAAAATACTATAACGAAGTTTTTTTTCGTTAAGTACTTTCCGAGCCGATGAGGCACGAAGGTTGCAGTACGACCGACATTAGCATTACCCAAGATGTACCGCTTAGAGATTGCACGGTCGGATTTATATCTCGTGTGTGCGTGTGTGTGTAAAAAAGTGAGTGAGTGAGCGATTGAATGAGTATGCGTCTACAAATATAAATGTTCGAATTGTTGACCTCCTTCAATTTGACACTGAAGCAGTCGATCATGAAAGCTCCTACTAATATTTTCCAATGTTTCGGAGGTAATTAATACTACTTCAGTGGTAATTCGGTGTCGTAAATCATCCAAATTTTGAGGTTTTGTTTTGTAAACGCGATCTTTTAAATAACTCTAAAAGAAAAAATCTAAGGGATTCATGTCAGGTGACCGGGGTGGCCACTCGATTAGTCCCCTCCTTGCTATTAATCTTTCAGGAAAAGAGTCGTTTAAAAACTGTCGTACCTGCAATCCAAAATGTGGAGGGGCATCATCCTATTGAAACCAAACTGTATCAAAATTTAAATCGAAAATATTGCGAATAGCAGGAATAATATCGTTTCGATATTTAAAAGATCGCGTTTACAAAACAAAATCACAAAATTTGGATAATTTGCGACACCGAATTACCACTAAAGTGGCATTAATTACCTACGAAACATTGGAAAATGTTAGTAGGTGTTTTCATAATCGACTGCTTCAGTGTCAAATTGAAGAAGGTCAACAATTCGAACATTTATATTTGTAGACGCATACTCATTCAATCGCTCACTCACTCATTTTTTTACACACGCACGCACACATGCATGCATACACACACGCACACACAAGATGTAAATCCGATCGTACAACTTCCACGCGGTACATCTTGGGTAATGCTAATGTCGGTGGTACTGCAACCTTCGTGCCTCATAACTCGGAAAGTACTTAACGAAAAAGAACTTCGTTATAGTGTTTTGAAAAGCTTTTGAGGTAAGCTATAAGAATATGTAATAAAAAGTGAGGAATTCCATTTACAAATATCAGATTGACCTTGATCTGACCTTGGCAACGCCACCCAAAGTTAAGCGGATATTACCGTTGAATGCATCTTTTTAAACCTTACAACTTTTGTCTGAACTTTTGTCAGAAACATTTTTTTCTAAAATTCATTTTTTAAGAGATATTTGAGTGTTCCAGACTTTTGCTACACCCTGTATATACATATATGTATAACATGCATAAAGTATATTCATAATAATTAATATTCAATAATTAGTTTAATTATTAATTCAGTTAATAGTTAATACTTCGGGGAATAGGTGATAACAGCAGCAGCAGCAAAGCAACCACGATGACATGTGATTGGCTGTCAAAAATATTAATATTGACGAGAGTTGTTAATAATTTAATTTAATTATTAATTTAATTGATAATTAATACTTAACAATTCTAGAGTAGTAGATAAATGATCGTCAACATATGTACCGCGTTATCACCGATATATTACCCTCTTATTTTATAAATTTTAAGAAAACATTAATTGTCTATATTAGCAATGTTAGATCTCTATATTAGATCTCTATATTAGCAATGTAAGATTATCGATATTTTTAACGAATATTCTATATGCATTTATAAAGAAACTATAATAAATGACAAAAAAATTAAAAAATATTGCAATAATACAAGTACCTTTATTAAAGTGTACAAATATTAAAAGAAATCATGTTTCTTCGAAAAATGAAAGATCGGTTAAAGTAAATCTCTAATTTTTTCCCAGTCAGACCCACAATGTTAATTCGACGTCGATGAGGATCGAATTAACGTTGATTCAATATGTCATCGGCTATTTCAACGTCAAATCAACGTCGAATCAACGTTATGGTTCTGACTGGGTTCGATTCCTCCCTACAGATGTCTATACAGAGAGAAGAAGGAGAGACGTCACGGGCCACTTTTAGCCGAGTCCAGTGTGAGTCGCGCTCTGCACAACCGTGCACATGAACTACGATGCCAATGTCCACGACTCTTGTCTGATTTCCCCCACCATGCACGCACACTAGCCGGCGCAGTCTATGGGCAAGAGCACAGGCTTTTGCATAACGCATAATACATAACGCATAAGAGAATAAACCAATTAATTTTCTTCATTTCCCTCCTCAGGATAAAAATGAAGAACTTTGATTGGTTGATTCTCTTATGCGTTGTGTATTATGCGTTATGCAGAAGCTGTGCTCTGGCCCTATCCGTGTGGACCACGCGCTCGGAAATCGTCGGCGCGCCGAGCGACAGAGAGATATCATTCCCTCCTTATCGCTCTCGTGTTCGCTCAGCGACGCGAACGAAAATATCTTTCCCTCTTTCTCGCTTTCGTTCTCGCTCAGCGACGCGAGCGAGGCTAAGGGCAAGAGCACAGGCTTTTGCATAACACATAATACATAACACATAAGAGAATAAACCAATTAGTTTCCTTCATTTCCCTCCTCAGGACAGAAATGAAGAACTCTGATTGGTTGATTCTCTTATGCGTTGTGTATTATGTGTTATGCAGAAGTCTGTGTTCTGGCTCTTAAGGCCAGAGGCGAGCCAAGTAAGGCAAGAAGAACTTGCACTTACATTAGAAGTGACTCAACAAGCAATTTCACATCGTTTAAAATCGTTGGGAATGATTCAAAAACAAGGAAATTGGGTTCCATATGAACTGAAGCCGAGAGACGTTGAACGCCGATTTTGAATGTGTGAAGTGCTGCTTGCTAGACATAAAAGAAAGGGTTTTTTTGCATCGTATAGTCACTGGTGATGAAAAATGGATCCACTACGATAACCTAAAGAAGAGAAAATCATGGGGACCACCTGGCCATGCTTCAACATCGACAGCCAAACCGAATATTCATGGAAAAAAACTCATGCTGTGTATTTGGTGGGATCAGCTTGGTGTCGTGTATTATGAGTTGCTCAAACTGAGCGAAACCATTACTGGAGCTCTCTACCGAATACAATTAATGAGATTGAGCCGAGCACTCAAGGAAAAACGCGCCCATTACTACTCCAGACACGACAAAATTATTCTCCTACATGACAATGCTCGGCCACATGTTACAAAACCGGTCAAAACCTATTTGGAAACACTTAATTGAGAAGTCCTATCCTACCCGCCGCATTCACCAGACATTGCCCCTTCCGATTATCACTTGTTCCGGTCGATGGCCCATGGCCTGTCTAAGCAGCGCTTTACATCATATGAAGATACTAAAAATTGGGTCGATTCGTGGATAGCCTCAAAAGATGAAGAGTTCTTCCGACGTGGTATCCGAATGCTGGGATGGGGGGGGGGAAAGATGGGAAAAAGTAGTAGCTAGTGATGGACAATACTTTGAATAAAACGTAACGTACCGTTCTTTCACAATAAATTCCTAATTTTTGATAGAGAACGGCGGAAACTTATTTGTACTCCTAATAACATTTCTCTTATAACTATTTTCAAACATTCTAAATACAATAATAACTTTATTTTAGATCAATGCGGATATTGACTTTTGGCCACATTTAGAGATATTCTGGCCCACTGCGCGTGGCCGCGGAGCCGCTAGGTTGAAATCTGCTATCACTGATTATGAGTAAGTTGTTTCGCTCAGAGCGACAAGGCGAGCATGAACGGGCTATCTCAATCTTGCTCAGTACACCAAGCGCGTAAGAAGACAGAGAAGACCGAGTGGTGGGGGTAAGCCTCGATCATGCGCGTAAAGCCCGTGTCACGCTACGGATTGAAGATTAAGGATTGCGGAATGAAGATTAGATTTCGACAAATCAACGAACTTCGGTTTTGATTTGCTTTATTCCGATTGGTCAAATTCAATCTTCAATCCGCAATCCTTGATCTTCAATCCGTAGTGTGACATGGGCTTAAGAATTTCCCGCATTAAGCCAGCGGCACACGGTGCTTGTTTTCGTGTTGGATTGCTTGCTGGATGAAAATACTGCGTTCTGATTGATGCATTTCCGAAATGCACCAATCAGAACGCAGTATTTTCAACCAGCAAGCAATCCAGCACAAAAACAAGCACCGTGTGCCGCTGGCTTTACTTGTGCCTGTGTCGTCTGTCTGCTCACTGGTGGTGAGACAAAGTTAAAGCGATTCAATTGTTATCCTTCTCTTACTCATATATATATATATATATATATATTATATCATTTTCACTATAGTCTGTTTTAGTAGTTCGGATATTAACCAGACTCAAATCACAGACACAAACCTCGTATCGTTGCCGAGACATCGAGTTAGTTGACGTCTATTTTCTCAGGGGGCATATCAGGACAGACATATAGCAGACACCGGGCTTTCGCCCGGTGGCCGCTCTCAGGTTTCTCTCTGGTCGTTGCAGTTGTTAGCAATTGTTCACTGCGACATTGGCTATCCTGTCTATAGTTTGTGTGTCGCGATATTACGTACCTGTCTCGTTTATCCATTTCATTGCTATCAACTAGTTCTGACATTTCGGCACAGTAGAGGATTTACGTGGAAATTGTTTCCTCGTCTGGTATCGAAGTAAATCCGCGAAGATGAACAGGCTCTTTGGACGCGCTAAACCTAAAGAACCTTCACCGAGTATAACGGACTGTATCGCTGGGGTAAGGGCGATTTATTGATGTCACCAAAGACAAATAGATAAATTCTTTCCTAGTCATTTATTTATTTTGATATTTCTGATATTATATCGACGAAGACTCGTGTCATCTGCATTAAACAGTGTGTAATAGAAAGTTGTATGACCTGCTACAGCAGCAAAGGTCTGTTTTGCAAATGTCACCTTTTCTAGGTTGACAGTAGAGCAGACTCTGCGGAGAAGAAGATAGCCAGGCTAGATGCAGAGCTGAAGAAATATAAAGACCAAATGCTGAAAATGAGAGATGGTCCAGCTAAGAATACAGTAAAGGCCAAAGCTCTGCGTGTATTGAAACAGCGAAAGATGTACGAAACTCAGGTGGACAACTTGCGGCAACAGGCGTTCAATATGGAACAGGCAAACTATGCGACTCAGACGTTGAAAGATACTCAGGCAACTGTGGTTGCTATGAAGGAAGGTGTCAAACAAATGCAGAAGGAATTCAAAAACATCAATATTGATCAAATTGAAGTAAGCTGGTAATTTACTAACAATATGATGTTAAAGGCCTACTTAATATTGTATGGATCGTTTCTGTTATTTGCAGGATCTACAAGATGATTTGGCAGATATGTTAGAACAAGCTGATGAAGTACAAGAAGCAATGGGTCGTAGTTATGGAATGCCAGAGATTGATGATGATGAACTTGCAGCTGAACTGGAAGCTCTTGGTAATGATCTAGCTTTGGATCAGGATACTAGCTTCTTAGATGATGCTATTAAAGCACCTAGCGCACCAGATAAAGAACCTGGGGCAAATTCTGTCAAGAACAAGGTCTGTTTTGGAATAATAATATTTATTAGTAAAGTTTCCAATTGATGAAATAAGATTAAACTTACTTTTATATTTACAGGATGGTGTGCCGGTAGACGAGTTTGGATTACCGCAAATACCTGCTAGTTAAGTTTGAGCGCATCAAAAGTTGAACAAATAAGAAAGTGTAAGCTTTAAAGTACTTGCGTGTATGCCCAGACACAATTTTCTGCAGAGACACAAAGCTTTTCTGATCTATACTCCAAATACCCAATTCAAATAACGTTCTAAGATTTTGTTGACAAAATTCACGCAACAGATATATTTAGTTCTGTACTAATAAGATTTTGTTATACTGGTCTTTTAAAGCTAATATTTTTATTAAATTAGAATTATGTTGTACATATATAAATAAGAAGATTATAATAAATATCGATAAATATCGAGAATTTCCTGTGATACGTGCGAGCGGTATGAGACACTCTCGTGCTCCACTTCCGATTTCTTACAAGATTATTAAATCACTTGCAATCTAGAGATATCTGTTTCTCCTATACGTCGTACTTCCATGTAACGTTCACATAAATCGAGCATGCATTCTTTGCTCTCGTCGAAATGTGTCTCGTCAAATCCATGTACCTGCGTATAGTGGTGAACGTATGCCTAAAATATAATTTCATAATACTTGACAATTATGCAACAGACTAAACTTTTATTAAGGAACTTTTGCACGTTTATTCGTTCGTTAGCAGGAAAAAAATACCTCAGAGACAAAAACACCATTTTGCTTGTTCACTAAAGCAATATATTGTTAGTACCTTTTTCCTATACAGTTTCGAAAATTCTTGTACTATATCTTCGAATAATAAAGATATACTGGACGAATTGAGCAGACACAGTAGTGATGAAGTATGTCCTGCTGGAGGAATAGAACATAATCCTATTTTCATGCAGTCCTTACTCCAGGAAGTAAATTGTACCTTATTTTGAAATCTATATAAAAGAATAAATATAGTCATATAATGAGACGATTATCAAGCGGTACACAAATTTGAATTCAACAAAGGCAGATTAAGTACCTTTCAACATTCCGCTTCATATCGGTCAAAGTGATATTTCCCCTTGCAATATGTGCAGCAGCAAGAATCACGGAGGTGCGTTGTAGAGGGTCCAATTTGATCAGTTGATTACTTCGCGACCATGCATTGGTGAACAGTTCATCCTGCAATCTTAAAAATTATCACTGATGTCTCTTTGCATTTATGGTTTAAGATGAAAATCTATAGGGAAGATGTAAATATATACTTTGTCTCTTGCATGTTGCACACATTTGGAGCAGCTAAAGTTACAGGGCTAATACTGCTGAATATATAATGCAACTTTGGATACGGCACCAAATTTGTGGCCACTTCGTTCATATCCATGTTTAAACTTCCCGGAAATCTGGATCCACTAAAAGAAATTATTATATGTTCGTAACGTCAAATGTTGTGTAGTGGTTTCACAAAAAATGTTCTCACCTGGTCAAGTGTAAAAGCATATTGACGATAATGCTGTTCATATCTTGAAACGGTTTGCACGATGCATTGTAAGTTATTTCACTAGTATTCTCTCGTTTGTTTGTTTGCGCACTACATATATCCAAGAGTGCTTTGTTCTCTATAGGAAAGACACAAGTGGCGTGTTCCACAAGCTCTCGGGTCGCAAGTATAGTGTTGTAAGGTGCTGTTATAACATCTTGCATATTTGCTGGATACACGCAAGTCACGAGCCTGCAATATTAATACTGTAAATGTACAGTTCTCAATTTATTACCTTGCAAATATTATACACATATAATTACACTAATTTAATTAAAAATATTCATTATAAAATAATATACCTTTCCACATGAGGATAATTATCCTCTAACAGTTTTAAAGTTGCTGTACCTAATCCAGACCCAGTACCACCTCCTAAGGAATGCATCAACAAAAACCCATCAAGTCGATCACATTTTTCAACCATGTGTCTTATACTTTCCTTCAAATGATTGCGATACTCCCTACAGTGAATATGGTATCCTATTGCCCTAGAGATTAAATTTTCTAAGATTATTATAATATATATTTCCACATCTTTGTTTATATTATAATCCCAAAATAAATACGTTGTGTATAATTCACCAATTATTCCCAGATCCTGGATAATTTGTTACAAAACAAGTTTGATCAAACAATCGACGCAATGGACCTTGTTTAAACCTACATACAACACTATCCTCCATGTCTATTAGAACACTCTATTAAAAGAAATAAAAAATTCTAAATTTGAGGAACTTATTTCTTATTATGTTGCTTTTAAGGAAGCTAGAAACCAACTCTAGAGGACCATACATACCCTGGCTTTAACTTTAGCTGCATTTAAGTCAGCTATATTTTGAAAATGCATACTGTCAGCATTATCTGGGACATGAAAAAAACTGGAGAATCCTTCAGACATATCCTTGATGTGTTTAACATGAGTTCGTTGAACTTTGAGCATATTAACATTACCAGTAGTCTGGATGCCGTATTCATGTAAAGCCAAAGGCCAGAAAGCTGATCCTATCTGATTCCCACATTGGCCAACTAAAATACATAAAAAGAAATTTGAAATTTGAAGAATTTGTAATGTATATTAAAATCTTAAATGTTGTCACATTATATATGCTTACCTTGTATTGTAATGAATTGACTCATTATATCCAGATTCTAAATCATCCACATATACATATGAAACAGTTGTTATTAAGTTGTAAAAATTTTGAAGATCAAAATTATATATTATTTTCTATAAACATTTGTTATTTCTGCATCCATCAAATAGACCTAAATCAATAGTAAGTTTCTACAAATAAGATATTGTTTGATTCACTTTTAAATCTTATTAATTAAACAATAATTCATTAAATTACAGAAAAGTTAAATTAAAAGCCAAAAGCGTTCACCTCAAGTGCTATCTAGTGACACTACGTAAAAACTCGTAAGGCACATCCGAGTAAAAAATGGATTAAAAATGATGACAATACAATGATTAAGAAAGCATTCTGTAGCTTAATATTTCTAATTTCCAATAATGTTATTAGATACAACGTTTATACTGACTTGTTATAATATAATAGTACGCGGTATGTCTTCCTTCATTGAATTGTTAAACGTTGAAACAATCAGAGAAAATAAGGAGATAGGTCACGGGCCGCTTTTAGCCGAGCCTAAAGTCTCTAGATTTATAAAGTACCGCAATCCTCCGCCATTTTGGCTCCAATAACGCGGTACATTCAAAACGCACAGATATGGTATTTTGTAAATAAAATAGGAAAATTGTTCGTGATATTAAATAATGTTTTTATTGATATTTTTTGGTCTTGTTAATATAAGATTTCATCGCAACGCTTCTACTATTATATACAGTTTGGTGCTGAACGGTCAAATTGTCCTTTTTGAGCGAGAAATAGATACGTGCTATTACAAATGTTTTTAATAGTTTAAAAACAATTATTATTAATATTATTATTATTATTAATTATTATTATTATTATTCTAATATATGATGTGTTACACACGATTATAACTCATTAACTATACCTCACAAATTACAGCTCTTGCTGGCAATGTATCTTTGCCAATTAATCGCAACCATTCATTGCGTCTATCGTTATTCCTAGCAGGGTTGGGAAAGTTACTTTTTAAAAGTAACTCGTTACCGTTACCATTACTTTCGGTAAAAAGTAACTCGTTATCGTTACTCGTTACTGATCTTAAAAAATAACGCGTTACCGTTACTTGAAAGTAACGATATTTTATTTCGTTACTTTCCGTTACTTTTTTTGTTGTAAATCCAGGATTATAAGAAAGGTGCTAAGACAAGATATAAATCGGACATAAACGATTAGAAATATATATATATATATATTTAAATATTTTTATTATTTTATGTTATTAAGTGTTGTACTTAATGAAAAGTTTCTTAATTAGTGGATATGAATTTAATATTTAGACATTAGTGCCTGTTGACTTTAAAAATCTTTGCCATTCATCATAGGCAGATTTCTCATTTGATGTTTGCTATTTAAAATTAAAAAGGTCATCGTTATTATTGTGTTTATCAGACATCAAAAAATTTTTAATTGAAGGAATTCCTTATAAATCTTCTAAATACGTTTGCGCAAGTTTTCACTTATCTCCAGCTAACCAACTCAATTTGGGATGCAAACAGCTGGCAATTATCAATTCTTCTTTTTCGAATGTAGTACAAAACCTAAAGTTAAATCAATAAAATTAAATATGAACATATTGATTTTTCTTTTTGATCAGATGAATGTTATTTGATGAACATATGTATTAACCAAATTACACCAACTTACCTTTCTTTTAAACCTTTCTGTGTAGCTAAGGCCAATGGATGACAATATGTGAGTCCATCTTTATTGGTTATCATTAAATTCAGCATAAAACAAAAAATGCATAGAAATTAAATACAATTAAATTTAATTTTATAAAAATTAAAAAGTAACGATTAAAGTAAGGACGTTTTGTTACTCGTTACAAAAAAAATGTATCGCCGTTATTTTTTCGTTACTGACACCAAAAAGTAACGGCGTTACCTAATCGTTACTCAAAAAAGTAACGATACCAGTAACGGCGTTACAAGTAACGCGTTACTTCCCAACCCTGATTCCTAGTACCTGTCGGTAAACGAAATAAGCGAAAACCTTTTTCGCTATGATTTGTATATCCATCCACGCAACACCCTGGCATGTTTTTCAATGTTCCTCTTCAACAAGCATTCCTTGTGTCAAACACAACTCACGTTAAGCCCGTATCAGACTACGGATTGGGATTGAGTATTGGATTGAAATTTAACCAATCAGGAGTAAGTTTACTATACTTGAGATTATTTTCTCTTTTTCAATTGGTCAAATTTCAATCTAATCTCAATCCCAATCCATAGTCTGATACGGGCTTTAGATAAATTGCACTTAATGTGTAGATACATTATGAAAGTTGCACTATGTACACTTTTTAACGCCATTTTGGCTCCAAATTCTTATACATTGAGTCTTATGGATTGCAGTACTTTATAAATCTAGGGACTTTAGCCAAGCCCAGTGTGAGGCGCCCTCTGTACAACCATGCACATGAACGATGCCAATGTCACGACTCTTTTCTGATTTCCCCCACCATGCACGCACGCATAGCCGGCGCAGTCTATCCGTGTGAACTACGCGCTTGGCAATCGTCGGCGCGCCGAGCGACAGAGAGATAGCATTCCCTCCTTCTCGCTCTCGTGTTCACTCAGCGACACGAGCGAAAATATCTTTCCCTCTTTCTTGCTTTCGTTCTCGCTCAGCGACGCGAGAGCGAGGCTAATTCTTTCTGGGCTATAATCTGATAAGGGCTACTGCCAAACTTGGGGTCACTGATTTTGACGAGCTTTAGCAGAAATATAGTACAGGTTCAGCAAAAGCTACTGTTAACCGGAGACGATGTAACACTCAAGCATTTGGGAGAAATTACAAGTTGAAATTTCGAGATTTTAACTGTGCGCTGTTACCTTAATATTGGGTTGGCAACTAAGTGATTGCGGATTTTAAATGAGAATGAATATTCAAAATTTTAAATTTGCTTTTTAAAATTTTTTTCAATGCATGTATGCGCTACATTGAGTGCTTCTCTGCAATATCACGTGTTGTGCTATGACGATCTGAATCGATAATGACCTTGATATGGGTCTCATCGACTTCAACTGGACGGCCAGATCGTTGAGCATTTTTCAATGAAAAATCACCAGAACGAAATCTGGCAAACCAATTTTGACACTGCTTTTCTTTCAAGGCTTCATTCCCATATACGGCACATAACTTCTTGTGTGCTTGCGATGCGTTCTTGCCTTTTCGGAAATAATACAATAAAATATGTCTGAAGTGCACGTCTTGCTCTTCCATTTTTAAATTGGGATAAAAAAAAACTAAAGAACTAATCGATATAATTTTTGTACTAAATGAAAGGTAGAAACAATAAGAAAAGGTCCAAACAATAAGACAAAAATATAGGTTAGGTACTTTGAACACGTTAACGAAACAAAAGAAAGTGTAAAATCCATCTGTCGACAAAATCCGCAATCACTTAGTTGCCAACCCAATAGTATTACTAAAAAAGAATATGTAAGCCCACATTACTGCTCGATGGAAACTGAGATGGTCGTGGTTTCTTCCATTAGGAGAAAATGATAAACAAATGTCGAATAAGTCACTTATAAAATGGAATTATTTGATATTGGTTTATATTTCCTAATAAAGAATGAGAGGATGTAAGGAAAGGAAGAAGCAAACATAAAGGGAATAATAATATCGTGCAAGCGTTAAACAAAGTATACAAACAAAGAAGAAAATGCGATATTAAAATACACAAAAACAATTACAGCTACAGTATTACATTCACAGTTGCAATAATGCATGCATTTGCACAATATTTCTATGAAAAGTCTTTCACACAATGAAAAGCGAGATTTAACGCATAAATTTGCCTTTCTCAGTAAACATCAAGTATCAGTTACGTATTATCTATTTTAGAATGTCACACATTCAATCATGTAAATACATGATATACTACCCAGTAAGGAAAATGCTAGCAGAATGCGTGCAGATTGACGCCAATTTCGATCAGATCTCTACATCAAAACCATAGCCATTTGTGTCCTCATTAGGCTTGTGTTTTGTCGACAGGACCTGTGTGACAGGCCGTGCTGTCAAACTACGCGTAGAGTCTGCGCGCAGAGTTTGCTCGGTTTCTGCCGCCAATCTGCCATCAAATTACTGCAAGTCTTGCGCGATTTTTGCTACAAATCTGCCGTCAAATATCCGACAGCAGGATCTGGCGCATATTTGATCGCAGATTGGCGGCATAATTTGATATAACAAATTCTGCGTTAAATTTGTTGCCTATTTGCCATCAAATTATGATAGCAGGCTTTGTTCGAAATCTGCTCGCGTAGGTTTGGCTATCTGAGTATGTAACACATGGTATTAGGTAGCATTTACATGCTTGAGAGTTCATTCTAACAGAGAGCACGTTCTAACATAGATGGTATGTAAATGATACTTGTTGTTTATTGGGTTAACTCGCACATATGGAATATGTAAATAATAACAAAACCCAAAACCATATATAGAATGGGAGAACGAAATCTTCACAGACAAACTTTGGTAAATATTAGGTGCGCAACTAAGTTCTCGCTGTTTTTTTGATGAAAATGCAACTTTATTGTGAAGAAATGGTTACAAATGAATCATTCAAAATATTGCCCATCGCTAGCGACAACTTTTTCCCATCTTTCTGGCAGAGCTCGAATACCATCACGGTAGAAGTGTTCGTCTTTTGAGGCTATCCACGAATCAAGCCATTTTGAGATGTCTTCATATGAGCGGAACTGCTGATTAGCCAGACCATGTGCCATCGAACGGAACAAATAATAATCGGACGGCGCAATATCTGGGGAATATGGCGGGTGGGGTAGGACTTCCCATTTGAGCGTTTCTAAGTAGGTTTTAACGGGTTTGGCATCATGAGGCTGAGCGTTGTCATGCTGTAGAATCACTTTTTCGTGCCTCTGCTCGTATTGTGGCCGCTTTTCGTGCAGTGCTCGGCTCAATCGTATCAATTGAGTTCGATACCGTTCCCCAGTGATGGTTTCGTTCGGTTTCAACAGCTCATAATAAATAACACCGCCCTGGTCCCACCAAATACACAGCAAAACCTTCGCAGCGTGAATATTCGGCCGAGCCGACGACGTAGAAGCATGACCGGGCAGTCCCCATGATTTTGTTCTCTTTGGGTTGCTGTAATGAATCCATTTTTCATCACCCGTAACGATGCGATGAAGAAAACCCTTCCTTTTTTGCCGCTGGAGCAGTTATTCACAGGCGAAAAAACGACGCTCAACGTCTCTTGGCTTCAAATCATAAGGAACCCAAGTTCCTTGTTTTTGACCCCGGGGCTTATTTCTATTATTTGCACCGGATAAGGAGGGGCAACGGTGGAGGCCGGCATACATGGACAGCAGGTCTTAAAAGGATAGCAACCTTTGACTTTGAGAGACTGTCAGCTTGTACCACCAGGTACAAGTAACAATGCCTCTCTGTAGTCGCCGTGCGCTCGGGATAGCACTAGAGATGTCGCTTCCGAACGACATCTCTTAATGTTATCTGGGGAGGGGAGAGTGTCGTGAGCGTGGAGCGTCAGATAGCTCAGTGGTCTAGAGCAGTCGCCCGGCAAGCGAAAGACCCGGGTTCGATTCCCGGTCTAGCGACTACCGCGCTCTCGATATTTTTCTCTCCTCGGAACGAAAAATGAGATGCAGGTCCCGAACGCACGGCGTCCCGTCGCCACCTAGTACGCCCTCCTTCTTTCATGGTTCCCAAGTTCCTTGTTTTTGATTCCCAACGCATACAATCGCTTGGAAATGGCTTGGCGGGTAACTCCTAATGCTGAAGCAAGCTCTTTTTGCGTTTGGCACGGATCCTCATCGAGCAATGCCTCCAATTCAGCGTCTTCGAAGGTTTTTGGCCTTCCTTCACGCGAACGGTCGTCAACATCGAAATCACCGTCTTTGAAGCGACGGAACCAATCACGACACGTTGTTTCACTTAGAGCAGCATCTCCGTAAACTTTTTGGAGTTCTCGATGCGCTTCAGCCGCCGTTTTCTTCGAATGAAAGAAGAAAAGCAACACTTCCAGCAAATGACGATTATTTGGCACAAAATAAGACATTTTCACACAACCAAAAGTATATGACGCAAAAACAAAATCACTAATGTGTCAAAGCGGTTTGTTTACCATATGTCTAAGCTTGGTTCATGACGTTTGGTTATGTCACAATCGACCAGCACTTACTACTGGAGCCATCTCTTGAAAAACAGCGGGAACTTAGTTGCGCACCTAATATATATCAGGATATTTTAAAGGATTTGTCCAGAGTCCAAACGACCTTGTTCTGCGTCATTTATTTCTAGTTCAGTCTTCTAGAGCAACCTCATGCAAAACAGTAATCACGTTTTAACACAGAATGCATCCTATACTCGAAAGTATTTCACATATGAACAACTAATATCATTTACATACCATCTTGACTCTGTTACAATACTTTTTTATATTTCATTCTACATCTTTGTATAACTTAAAATTATTCTTCAAATATTATTAAACAATTCCCAATAACAATCAAATCTATGAATCTGTCCGCCTCCGCAAAACAATTAATGAAATATATTTCATTTTCTCGGTGCGGAATATTATTAAAATTATTATTATAAATAATATTATTATTAATAATAAAATAATGTTATTCATAATAATTTCGGTGCGTTGAATAGGAAAACTTATCAGTATTATCATAGTCGCGCCCGCGACTCATAAGAGCTGCTCCCAAACCTGCGGTTACTGATTTTGACGAGCTTTGGCAGAAATGTAGTATAGGTCTAGCAAAAGTTACTGTTAACCGGAGACGATGCAACATTCAACCATTTGGGAGAAATTACAAATTGAAATTTCGCAATTTTAGGTATGTTATTCTAACATTTGCAGAGTTATTTCCAAATGACGGCGTAGGGCAGCAGACTGTGCGCGGTGATGGTACTCTCCAGGCTGCGTGTTCCCGTCTAGCTGTTTTGTTATTTTTTTTAAATTTATGTTTCTTTTACTCTTACAAATAAAAATATATATATTACAGAAGAATAGGAACATAAATTCATTATACAAATAACTTTTTCTATGTTTTATAAAGGAGAATTCTCGCATTATAATTTTTATATATTATATTTTCATATATTATGTTATATACTTCAATATCTATATATTACGTGTCTTTATATAATATTACATATATACAGGGTGAAGAAAAAACTTCGGGACCTCTGAAAATTTCGAAAAATATACACTTTATAAAAAAATGTTTCCGACAAAAGTTATAGCGTTGAAAACTGGGGACGAAAAATTGGTTCATTACGATAACCCTAAGCGCAGAAAATCATGGGCATATCCCGGCCATGCTTCCACGTCGACGACCAAACTGAATATTCACGGCTCCAAGGTCATGCTCTGTATTTGGTGAGACCAGCTCGGCGTAGTGTATCATGAGCTGTTAAAACCGACTGAAACAATCACAGGCGATCGTTATCGAACGCAATTAATGCGTTTGAGCCGAGCCGTTTGTCTTTCAATGCCATTGAAAGACAAACGGCCGCAATACAACGAGAGACACGATAAAGTGATTTTGCAGCATGACAATGCTCGACCCCATGTTGCGAAAGTGGTCAAGACATACTTGGAAACGTTGAAATAGGAAGTTGTACCCACCCGCCGTATTCTTCAGATGTTGCTCCCTCTGACTATCACTTGTTTCGATCAATGGCACATGGCCTGGTTGACTAGCACTTCCGGTCTTATGAAGAAGCAAGAAATTGGATCGATTCGTGGATAGCTTCAAAAGATGACTAGTTTTTTCAACGGGATTCGTACCTGCCTGAAAGATGGGAGAAAGTAGTGGTCAGCGATGGACAATACTTTGATCATAAATGTATAATCAGTTTTTTACAATAAAGCCTCGAATTTCGGAAAAAACGGAAGCAAAGTTGTACACCTAATAGCTTCCTTATTACTCTTCTCACCTCCTTCCTTTCTATTCCCCTCTCCTCTCCCCTTTCCTCATTTCTTCCCCTCCCTCTGATCACCATCCATTCCACTCCCCCTAATAACCTCCTAAAGTGTCTATCCCATTCCTCCATTTCTACTATGTTTTACCATTCCACTATGTTTTACCTTGTGAATAAAATAAATATTATGTAAATTCTTTTTTCTCAAAAGCACCGACCGAATGTGCGTCACAAATCGGTCTGTTATTGCAAAGCCTTACCAGGAATTATAAATGGTTCTGTTTTTTGCTGCGGCTTGATAATGGTAAACAGCATGATTTTATCGAAGCAAGTCGGTCTTTGAATAATTATCTGTATTATAAAAAATTGACTCACTAATACGTTCTTCACACACACACTAGTTCCTTTTATGTCATTATTGCTATTATTATAATTGTTCTGCAATTACAATAAAAAAGATGATAATGATACGTTACCGAGATAGATAATATCTCAGGGGCTACAACTGATAACTAGTTCAACTATATGAGAGTAACACTACAAATTATACCCAGGTTGACAATTGCACCTAGTTGACGCTCCATTGTTTGACGGTAATACCGAATATAATATACGAAATAAACATCACACCTAACTATTTAATAGTAACACCTGCAATAACACTAAAATTGATGGTGAACCCTCAAGTGACATTAAGGTTGACGGTCAACATATCAACATTCGGTATATTTTTCATAAGGATACATTTAATGATACTACCAGAGCAGAGAGAAGCCTGAGAGCGGGCATGGCTGCATTTACAGCGTTATGGAAAAGTTGGCTGATTCGAAGCGCTAACTGGGTCCATTTTTCATGGACATGAACTACTAAGCCAATGTCCACGATTTGTCGGTATTATTCCGTGCTATGTCGATAATTATTTGATTCTGTTTTGTGCTATGTTCACGAGCGAGCTAGATTAGTTAGATGAAAACGAAGAATCGGTCTTCGTCTCACCACCAGCGAATAGACAATCGCGACGAAGCGAACCAGCAGCGATGTTATCGTAAGGCAGACGTCGCCGTCCCCCCTTTCACTCGCTTGTTTTCCTTTCCACATTGTTTTATATTCATAATTCGGGAAGAAAATAATTTCGAGAGTTCGGACGATTTCTAGCAATGACGCGACAGAGATAATGCGCGGCCACATTAATTTGTCATGACTTTTATATTACTTATAATTACATAAACGCCCATATATGCAAATTATAGATAATTATTGCACGTATGTTTTAATATTGTACAATATGGCATATAATAACAACAACTTCATTTTTTGCAGTAATTTTTTTAAGATCTTCGTTGAGCTCGTGAATTAATTTTTTCTTCATCAATCAGTTTTCTGCAAAAATTACGATTTTTTAAATAAAATATAAAATGTTTCTCTTCTCTTCTCTCCCAAGAGTTAATTAAAAAATATGTACTCCACAGAGTCAACTAACAAATGTGTAGTCAGAAGAGTCAATTTAAAAGTGTACTCCGAAAAGTCAATTTAATAGCGTATTCCGAAGAGTCAATTTGAAAGCGTACTCTGAAAAATCAAATTAATATTGTAATCCGAAAAGTCAATTTATAATAGAATATTTACTTCGATGATTCAGCTAATGCAAAAATATTTATTATTATATTCAGAGAATAATATTTAATTTATTATTTATACTTATCTTACTTATGCTTACCCTACATATGATTCATTGAATGAAAAATTTAATTTGTTGACTGATTCAGATTCAGATTTGTTAAAATATCTCTTATGCGCAACTCTTGAACAGGTAGGTAGTAAAATAATTTTTTTTCTCTACGAATTTTATAAACCTTTCACGAACATAAAAATTGAAAGATTCTCAGAGGACAAATAACTTTTCTTGAACATTTAAACCAAAGGAAAATCTTTTCCCATTAATAAAGTATGAATAATTAATATCTCACACGAGAGGAATCTTTATCCTCGAAATAACCGCGTGATTTTGCTTTTAGAAAAGTATAATATTGATGTAATAGTAACAAATGCTACGCAATAACGGTGCAAATCTTAAACGTTTTTGAGAAATGCAGTTCGAAGTTTAGTCTTTTCTGTTAATGTCGTTATAGCAGAAGAATTACCAATTTGCTTCAGTAGCGCAGTGGATCAGGCTTTGTGATATGAGCATAGAGGTTGTTCAAGTGTGTTATTTTTACTATAACAGGGAGAACTATGTAGAATGTATAATAATACGCAGACAAATTCTTTACATAATCATACTTATTTCTTTTAGCATGAATAAAAATGATCAATGCTAACGTGATAAGTGTATATCGCAATTGTACGTGTACGCAATTGTACACATACACACACACATACACACGTATACCAAAATCAATGTCAAAACCGAACAATTCGTGAAAATTTTTTATTGATCGCAATTGTGCGCAAAGACGAAAGAGAAGTACGCGGGTCTCCGCGGGTATCTCGTCATATTAATCGTCTATGAGCTGATAAACAATTGATCTCCGGTATTTACAAGTTACGCTTGTCCGCAGCTTGTTCGGTTTTGACATCATTGGTATCAGTGATGCGAATTTGGTGACGGGCTTGCACGAGGATTCTCCTCCCCCCCCATATACGCACACAGTCAGCTCGGTCAATCCGTGTGAGCCACGCGATCGGCAATGCGACGCGCCGAGCGAGCGAGAGAGAGAGAGAATATCATTCCCTCCTTGTCGCTCTCGTTCTCGCTCAGCGAGCCTAATTCTTGGGAGAGAAGAAAAGAGAAACATTTTATATTTTATTTAAAAAATCGTACTTTTTGCAGAAAACTGATTAATGAAGAAAAAAATTAATTCACGACCTCAACGAAGATCTTAAAAAAATTACTGCAAGAAATGAAGTTGTTGTTATTATATGCCATATTGTACAATATTAAAACATACGTGCAATAATTATCTATAATTTGCATATATGGGCGTTTATGTAATTATAAGTAATATAAAAGTCATGACAAATTAATGTGGCCGCGCGTTATCTCTGTCGCGTCATTGCTAGAAACTCGTCCGAACTCTCGAAATTATTTTCTTCCCGAATTATGAATATAAAACAATGTGGAAAGGAAAACAAGGGAGTGAAAGGGGGGACGGCGACGTCTGCCTTACGATAACATCGCTGCTGGTTCGCTTCGTCGCGATTGTCTATTCGCTGGTGGTGAGACGAAGACCGATTCTTCGTTTTCATCTAACTAATCTAGCTCGCTCGTGAACATAGCACAAAACAGAATCAAATAATTATCGACATAGCACGGAATAATACCGACAAATCGTGGACATTGGCTTAGTAGTTCATGTCCATGAAAAATGGACCCAGTTAGCGCTTCGAATCAGCCAACTTTTCCATAACGCTGTAAATGCAGCCATGCCCGCTCTCAGGCTTCTCTCTGCTCTGGTAGTATCATTAAATGTATCCTTATGAAAAATATACCGAATGTTGATATGTTGACCGTCAACCTTAATGTCACTTGAGGGTTCACCATCAATTTTAGTGTTATTGCAGGTGTTACTATTAAATAGTTAGGTGTGATGTTTATTTCGTATATTATATTCGGTATTACCGTCAAACAATGGAGCGTCAACTAGGTGCAATTGTCAACCTGGGTATAATTTGTAGTGTTACTCTCATATAGTTGAACTAGTTATCAGTTGTAGCCCCTGAGATATTATCTATCTCGGTAACGTATCATTATCATCTTTTTTATTGTAATTGCAGAACAATTATAATAATAGCAATAATGACATAAAAGGAACTAGTGTGTGTGTGAAGAACGTATTAGTGAGTCAATTTTTTATAATACAGATAATTATTCAAAGACCGACTTGCTTCGATAAAATCATGCTGTTTACCATTATCAAGCCGCAGCAAAAAACAGAACCATTTATAATTCCTGGTAAGGCTTTGCAATAACAGACCGATTTGTGACGCACATTCGGTCGGTGCTTTTGAGAAAAAAGAATTTACATAATATTTATTTTATTCACAAGGTAAAACATAGTGGAATGGTAAAACATAGTAGAAATGGAGGAATGGGATAGACACTTTAGGAGGTTATTAGGGGGAGTGGAATGGATGGTGATCAGAGGGAGGGGAAGAAATGAGGAAAGGGGAGAGGAGAGGGGAATAGAAAGGAAGGAGGTGAGAAGAGTAATAAGGAAGCTATTAGGTGTACAACTTTGCTTCCGTTTTTTCCGAAATTCGAGGCTTTATTGTAAAAAACTGATTATACATTTATGATCAAAGTATTGTCCATCGCTGACCACTACTTTCTCCCATCTTTCAGGCAGGTACGAATCCCGTTGAAAAAACTAGTCATCTTTTGAAGCTATCCACGAATCGATCCAATTTCTTGCTTCTTCATAAGACCGGAAGTGCTAGTCAACCAGGCCATGTGCCATTGATCGAAACAAGTGATAGTCAGAGGGAGCAACATCTGAAGAATACGGCGGGTGGGTACAACTTCCTATTTCAACGTTTCCAAGTATGTCTTGACCACTTTCGCAACATGGGGTCGAGCATTGTCATGCTGCAAAATCACTTTATCGTGTCTCTCGTTGTATTGCGGCCGTTTGTCTTTCAATGGCATTGAAAGACAAACGGCTCGGCTCAAACGCATTAATTGCGTTCGATAACGATCGCCTGTGATTGTTTCAGTCGGTTTTAACAGCTCATGATACACTACGCCGAGCTGGTCTCACCAAATACAGAGCATGACCTTGGAGCCGTGAATATTCAGTTTGGTCGTCGACGTGGAAGCATGGCCGGGATATGCCCATGATTTTCTGCGCTTAGGGTTATCGTAATGAACCAATTTTTCGTCCCCAGTCACAATGCGATGCAGAAATCCCTTCCGTCTTTGCCTTTCAAACAACTGTTCACAAGCAAACAAACGCCGTTCAACATATCTCGGTTTCAACTCGTACGGCACCCAATTTCCTTGCTTCTGAATCATTCCCATGTCTTTGAGGCGTTTTGAAATTGCTTGTTGAGTCACTCCCAATGATCGTGCCAATTCTTCTTGACTTTGACACGAGTCTTCATTAAGTAATGCCTCCAATTCTACATCTTCGAAAACCTTCTCTTTTCCACCGCTATGTCGGTCTTCGACGTGAAAATCACCGTTCTTGAAGCGTTGAAATCACTCATGACACATTCTTTCACTAATAGCGGCCTCACCATAAGTATCTAAGAGCATTCGATGAGCCTCAGCCGCAGATTTCTTCATATTGAAGCAGAAAATTAAAACCTCCCGCAAATGACGAGAATTTGGCTCGTAAACTGACATTTTCAATCGAGAATAATTTTATGATGCAGACACAAATCGATTAATGTTTCTATGGGGTTATGTTGACAGATGCCCAAGTTTATTGCATGATGTCTATGATCTAACACATCGATCAATAAGTCCCGGGACTAATTACTAAAACAACATATTTTTGCCAAAATTCTTCTTTATTCATCAACATAGTCTCCTTCAAGAGCGATACATTCATTCCAACGCTTTCCTAACTTTTCTATGCCAGCCGTGTAGAACGATCTTTGGTTTTAAAATAGGCGTTAGTTTCAGCAATCACTTCTTCATTGGAGCCAAATCTCTTTCCCTGGAGCATCTTTTTTTGAGGTCTGCGAACAGCCAATAATCGCTGGGGGCCAAATCTGGAGAATACGATGAGTGCGGAAGCAATTCGAAGTTCAACTCATGCAATTTGGCCACCGTTACCATCGATTTGTGACACGGTGTAGCGTCACGAATGTCATGAAAGTTTGACACGTAACTTCTAAAGGTTGGTACTAACTGAGAATGATATGGATTTGTTATTAGAGGCGCCATTTGTTGGTTAGTCCCGGGACTTATTGATCGATGTGTTATTTATTTCGACCACTACTTACCACTAAAGCCATCTGTAGGAAAACGGCGGAAGCAAAGTTGTACACCTAATATACAGGGTGAAGGAAAAACCCCGGGACCCCTGAAAATTTCGAAAAATATACACTTTATAAAAAAATGTTTCAGACAAAAGTTATAGCGTTGGAAAAGATCTATTTACCGATCTTAACAATTTGACCTTGGATGGCATCATCAAGGTCAGGACAAGGTCACCTCGGATTTTTTAAATAGAACTCTCAACTTTTTATTGCATATTCATATAGCCCTTCTTCAGACCTTTTCAAAGCACTATGGTTTTATCTAATTTGAGTAAGCTGTTCCGAAGTTATCGAGTTTTTTAAAGTAAGATATCTAGCCAACTAAGGCAAGATCGGAGGATGATCCGGCCAACTAAGGCAAGGTCGGAGTGATCGAGCCAACTAAGACAAGATCGGAGGATGATCCAGTCAACTCGTCAAAATAATTGCGCGACTAATTTCCAGGCGTTGGCTCCTATTGGCTTGTCTTAATTTCGTTGATTGATTTATTTCAGTTATTTATTTATTTGAACTATTCTGCTGTTCGACGTTTATTTCTCCCATTTACTCATTTAATACTCATTACAGTTTAGTGAATCGCAAACTCGACTGAAATTCCTCTATTTTTTTGAAAATTATTAAGAAACAGTTTGAAGCTAGTTGTAAGCTGACTTAATTGCACTTCATTCCGTGCTCATTATTATTCTTCAGCACTGTCTTTAGAATAACTTTGAATTGATCCAAATATTAATTTAGTCGATTAGACTAAATCTTACCACTTCTGCTTGTCAATATGGCAAGTCTTTCAGAACGAGAACGCATATCTCTTTTGATGATGAGAGGATGGGATGATCGACTAAGGTCGTACAAGGATGTGAGGCGGCTTTTTAATGAAACTTTTCGTAATCAGGGTAATGACATTTCAAAATCTACCGTTCAAAGAACGATAATGCGTTTTCAGGAAACTGGAAGTGTGAAAAATCGTGCAATACCAGGTAAGCCAGTATCAGCAACAAGTGTAGAAAAATCATTAGATGTTCTACAATCCTTTATCGAAAATCCGCATGATTCGACCCGCAAAGTAGGACACGTCACAAATCGGTCTGTTATTGCAAAGCCTTACCAGGAATTATAAATGGTTCTGTTTTTTGCTGCGGCTTGATAATGGTAAACAGCATGATTTTATCGAAGCAAGTCGGTCTTTGAATAATTATCTGTATTATAAAAAATTGACTCACTAATACGTTCTTCACACACACACTAGTTCCTTTTATGTCATTATTGCTATTATTATAATTGTTCTGCAATTACAATAAAAAAGATGATAATGATACGTTACCGAGATAGATAATATCTCAGGGGCTACAACTGATAACTAGTTCAACTATATGAGAGTAACACTACAAATTATACCCAGGTTGACAATTGCACCTAGTTGACGCTCCATTGTTTGACGGTAATACCGAATATAATATACGAAATAAACATCACACCTAACTATTTAATAGTAACACCTGCATTAACACTAAAATTGATGGTGAACCCTCAAGTGACATTAAGGTTGACGGTCAACATATCAACATTCGGTATATTTTTCATAAGGATACATTTAATGATACTACCAGAGCAGAGAGAAGCCTGAGAGCGGGCATGGCTGCATTTACAGCGTTATAGAAAAGTTGGCTGATTCGAAGCGCTAACTGGGTCCATTTTTCATGGACATGAACTATTAAGCCAACGTCCACGATTTGTCGGTATTATTCCGTGCTATGTCGATAATTATTTGATTCTGTTTTGTGCTATGTTCACGAGCGAGCTAGATTAGTTAGATGAAAACGAAGAATCGGTCTTCGTCTCACCACCAGCGAATAGACAATCGCGACGAAGCGACCAGCAGCGATGTTATCTTAAGGCAGACGTCGCCGTCCCCTCTTTCACTCGCTTGTTTTCCTTTCCACATTGTTTTATATTCATAATTCGGGAAGAAAATAATTTCGAGAGTTCGGACGATTTCTAGCAATGATGCGACAGAGATAACGCGCAGCCACATTAATTTGTCATGACTTTTATATTACTTATAATTACATAAACGCCCATATATGCAAATTATAGATAATTATTGCGCGTATGTTTTAATATTGTACAATATGGCATATAATAACAACAACTTCATTTCTTGCAGTAATTTTTTTTAAGATCTTCGTTGAGCTCGTGAATTAATTTTTTTCTTCATCAATCAGTTTTCTGCAAAAATTACGATTTTTTAAATAAAATATAAAATGTTTCTCTTTTCTTCTCTCCCAAGAATTAGGCTCGCTGAGCGAGAACGAGAGCGACAAGGAGGGAATGATATTCTCTCTCTCTCTCGCTCGCTCGGCGCGTCGCATTGCCGATCGCGTGGCTCACACGGATTGACCGAGCTGACTGTGTGCGTATATGGGGGGGGAGGAGAATCCTCGTGCAAGCCCGTCACCAAATTCGCATCACTGATACCAATGATGTCAAAACCGAACAAGCTGCGGACAAGCGTAACTTGTAAATACCGGAGATCAATTGTTTATCAGCTCATAGACAATTAATATGACGAGATACCCGCGGAGACCCATGTACTTCTCTTTCGTCTTTGCGCACAATTGCTATCAATAAAAAATTTTCACGAATTGTTCGGTTTTGACATTGATTTTGGTATACGTGTGTATGTGTGTGTGTATGTGTACAATTGCGTACACGTAGAACTGCGATATATACTTATCATTATACACGTTAGCATTGATCATTTTTATTCATGCTAAAAGAAATAAGTATGACTATGTAAAGAATTTGTCTGCGTATTATTATACATTCTACATAGTTCTCCCTGTGATAGTAAAAATAACACACTTGAACAACCTCTACGCTCATATCACAAAGCCTGATCCACTGCGCTACTGAAGCAAATGGGTAATTCTTCTGCTATAACGACATTAACAGAAAAGACTAAACTTCGAACTGCATTTCTCAAAAAAGTTTAAGATTTGCACCGTTATTGGGTAGCATTTGTTACTATTACATCAATATTATACTTTTCTAAAAGCAAAATGCACGGTGATTTCCAGGATGAAGATTCCTCTTGTGTGAGATATTAATTATTCATTCTTTATTAATGGGAAAATATTTTCCTTTAATTTAAATGTTCTCAAATCTCTTATTACACTCGAAATTTGCGGCTATGTAAGAAATCCAGGTATTTACCATTATGAAAATGCATATACAAAAAATAAGAGTAAAAACATACGTTTTTGCAAACATACGCATGATATAGTAAAACTGCGTGTCTCGAGATCTGATATTTCTGTTCCGATTCACTTTAATTTGTATTCAACTTTACCTATTTATAGAAGTTCTTTTTTTTCTTAATAAATGGTTCTTAGTAAGTAGCTAATAAGTAGTAGCGAAGTCAGCATTTGTTAAGTAAAAATTGCTTCTCTAATTATATGTAGAAACAACTTTTTATGATAATGCGATGTTTTATATTAATGCATACTGTTGCAGATACCTGAAACTTTTCTAACTTGTTTGTTATCAGTCACTACATGCGCACTGACAAGAGCACTGGAAGTGAACATTTTTGTGTTTTCTATTTTGCGGAGACATACGACAGTTTATCGGATTGTCCAGAAAGTTAGTACTGATTTTTCCGTAAGTCACGCACCAAACCGGGAATTTTATACATAAATTAATTTTTATATTTTTCTCATGTGTGCATATGTATATCGTATTCATTATCGTCTGTCATACAGTCATCATTAGTTCCAACTGTCAAGGGTTCTTCAAATTATATACTGCGATTTTGCTGAAAAAGGTAAATGTTTGCATTAAAATGTCCTAGATATATTTCACCAATTTACCTCATCGATCGAAACATTAAGATGTTTGCACAAAAATAATTATTATTTATTCTGATGCATATAGCCATCATATATGACTCCTTATTGTAAATAAAATTATTATATATTTGATTTTCTATTTGATACTTCAAACGTAACATTAGAAATAATAGTTTGAAAACTCAACAAAATTATATTTACTTCATTTATTGGCTTCTATCTTTTTCTATCTCATAACTTTGTCCTAAGCTATTTCAAGAAATACAAATACTTTAAATATTCAGATAATATTTCACGTTTGTCTCTGACATGATAAGTCGAAATGTGCGCAGAAATCAAAATAATATGATTATATTCCGAAATAGTGTTAATAACACTGACAGTACTACTACTAACAAGTAACACTACCCAACTGATACTCACCGATTTGAACGAAACTTAATATACTTATTAAACACCGAAAAATATTAAATACGTGTTTTTTTGTTTCGGTTAAATACGCTTTTTAGGGGTAAAAAGCACCCCTCAACCCCTGGAGGTGGAAACAGTTATGGCTAATTATTTCTGAAACGATACATTTTCTGAAAAAAGTGCTTAGGACCAAAGTTGTAGAGTTCAAAGTGATGCACTTGATGGCGACTTAGAAGTCGACCTTGAGGTCGATTTTCAAGGTCATTTGAAAATCATTTCATGTTTTTCAAAGGGAGAAGTTTACTTTTCATCCCGAGAATCGATAGAGCGTAAAATTTTATATTCAGAACGTTGGTGGTTTGTAAATAAAACAAGCCTCTGCAATTTAAAATTGTTCATTGATCCAACCAATTAAGGCAAGATCAGTCAATAATTCGATCAATAAAGGAATTGAAAGTTAATTATTCATTCAAATAAGACAAGATGTGATCGAGATCCAGCCAGTAAAGGCAAGATATGGTCGAGATCCAGCCAGAGAAGGCAAGATATGGTCGAGATCCAGCCAGTCAAGGCAAGATTTTATAATTTCTTTTCATAGTCTATGAGTATAAATTCCATGATAATTGGCATTATTCTTTATATTCATGGCAATAATGGGGAACAGCTTTATCTTCTTTCGCAAAAAAATGCTCCATAGACAGAAAGTTAGTACACCACGCACATTTTATTAATGCAATGTTATTGCAGATTTTGCAGACTGTCCCGCAATTCTTTAAACAGAAATCAACAGGCGTTTCACATCTATAGTATCTGGTTTTTCTTCAATATATCCACTTTTCCACCAGGCATATTTAATCATGTTTTGGAATCGGGGTGATGAGAATTGATTGTGGATTAATGATTGATTGAATTTTGAGAATATTATTCCTCAAATGTAGGTTAATATCATAGTTGTATAAGAGAATTAAGTTAAGAAAATTGTTTCAGGAAGTTTTTCCACGGTCTGAATACGTAGACATCCAATGGTTGAGTGAAGCCAGTTGTTCCTGCAGGAATTGTAAGGATTTTTATTTCTTTGACCCTGATTGATCTGAATTGTAAACGTTTGCTGTTCCTAGCAAGCCTATCTCTAATTTAACTTGACTCATATAATTGGAAGATTGTTCCAATAGTTCTGCTTTATTTAAAATATGTGCTTGTGTCACAAATTTATTTATTTTTCTTGAAACAATACCATGTTGTATTTTAAAGTTGTGTATCCATTTTGATGAAGCCGTAAATAATTGAGAAGGTAAATGAACTTCCTCTTTTGCTTTCAAGACCCATCTCTGTAGATCTAAATCGTGAATGGGTAGATTTCGATCAGATGCACTGTTAAATTGTTCTAGAACGTATTGAGAGATATATAACAATTTATCAGTCCTTGATCCACCCTCAGCAACTTGTGCTTCCCATCGATACAATTGTGTTATATTTATAATTTTCATAAATCGGTTTTTAACTGATTCCATATTCCTTCTTTTCTTTTGTCCAGATCGCCAAAATTCAATTTCTACTTATAACTCTCTTCTTATAATCAATGTCTACAATTTCTCTGAATTTTGTATTGTCTTGCACAACTTCCGAAACATCTTCTGAATTGTCTTCAACTAAAACAGCATCAGGAATCACACTAGCATCAGTACAGTTCAAAGTATCATAAATCTCTTTAAATATTAGGAGTACAAATAAGTTTCCGCCGTTTTCTATCAAAAATTAGGAATTTATTGTGAAAGAACGGTACATTACGTTTTATCCAAAGTATTGTCCATCACTAGCCATTACTTTTTCCCATCTTTCTGGCAGCATTCGGATACCACGTCGGAAGAATTCTTCATCTTTTGAGGCTCTCCACGAATCGACCCAATTTTTAGTATCTTCATATGATGTAAAGCGCTGCTTAGACAGGCCATGTGCCATCGACCGGAACAAGTGATAATCGGAAGGGGCAATGTCTGGTGAATGCAGCGGATGGGGTAGGACTTCCCAATTAAGTGTTTCCAAATAGGTTTTGACCGGTTTTGTAACATGTGGCCGAGCATTGTCATGTAGGAGAATAATTTTGTCGTGTTTGGAGTAGTAATGGGCGTGTTTTTCCTAGAGTGCTCGGTTCAATCTCATTAATTGTGTTCGGTAAAGAGCTCTAGTAATGGTTTCGTTCAGTTTGAGCAACTCATAATACACGACACCAAGTTGATCCCACTAAATACACAGCATGAGTTTTTTTTCATGAATATTCGGTTTGGCTGTCGATGTTGAAGCATGGCCAGGTGGTCCCCTGATTTTCTCTTCTTTGGGTTATCGTAGTGGATCCATTTTTCATCACTAGTGACTATACGATGCAAAAAACCCTTTCTTTTATGCCTGGCAAGCAGCATTTCACACGTGTAAAATCGGCGTTCAACGTTTCTCGGCTTCAGTTCATATGGAACCCAATTTCCTTGTTTTTGAATCATTCCCAACGATTTTAAACGATATGAAATTGCTTGTTAAGTCACTTCTAATGTAAGTGCAAGTTCTTTTTGCATTTGGCAAGAATCTTCCTCCAATAATGCTTCCAATTCCGTGTCTTTGTATACTTTCGGCCTTCCACTACGTTCTTTGTCTTCCACGTCAAATTCACCGTCTTTAAACTTTTGAAACCACTCACGACAATTTCTCTCACTTAAAGCAGTCTCACCATATGCTTCTGCAAGCAATCGATGCGTCTCGGATGCAGATTTCTTCAAATTAAAGAAGTAAATCAAAAGTTCCCGCAAATGACGCTTATTCGGCACAAAACTTGACATTTTCGCACGAAAAAAATTATGTAATGTTGATACGGAGTTACTAATACTTCAAGGTTATGTTGTTACTAGATGTCCAAACTTACGATATTACGTTTATATGATAATTTCAACATAACCTTTTGCTGGGGCCATCTTTTGTCAAACGGCGGAAACTTATTTGAACTCCTAATATATCAAAATTGATAGCGTCTTTTATCAAATCTGCAAGTTGAGAAGCGATTGATTTTTCTTCATCTGTTATTCTAGATTCTATATTGTACATTGGGTCCTCGTGAGGCATAATAACTTTAAAATCTTTTTTGGGTTTAATGACATTATGAAATTTTACAGATTAACAATGCTTTAATAATATTATAACAGAGATTCGAAGTAAATTCATAGAAAGCAGAGTTTATGATTAACCTAAATGAAATTAACACAAAAAATAGTCGTAGGAACAAATGATAGAAAAGTACTTGCAGTAACTACTATCCGAAAGAATTTTGAAAACATTCACAAGAAACAGCAGTCGTAAGAACAATTGACGTAAAACTATAAACAATGAACACTCGCCCAAGTACAGGAAATGATGGTTGATGGTATATTCGAACGAAATTCACGAGCAAGATAGCTCATAGCAAATAAGTGATCAAGAAGTAATTTTGGAAAATGCTTGCTCAACAACAGTCGGGAACATAATAATTGATCATGTCTGATTGAAATCCTAATACAAAATAAAGAGTAAAAGGTATTGTGGATAATTCCAGAGTAGCAATAAAAATTTAAAAAAATTTAAAAATTTCTAATATAGCATGAAGGTAATGTTTGACTTACAATTAGAGTGACATTTTACGTTTTCTTATCTTTACTTCTATTCTGAAGTTACTTACAAAACTTTTTTCTCCTTCTTATTTTTTCTATAAATTTGCGCCTATTTTCCCATTACGTCAGGTTTTTTTTCTTTTTTTTAGGAAAATAACGCAACAAATAAATTCTGAAGACAGATTTAGTCAACGCATAAAATTACTGATTATAGATACAGGATATGGTCAAAGTCCGACAACGGCTAATTATTTCCAAATTTAATTGACCTTAAAAATCGACCTCAAGGTCGACTTCTAAGTCGCCATCAAGTGCATCACTTTGAACTCTACAACTTTGGTCCTAAGCACTTTTTTCAGAAAATGTATCGTTTCAGAAATAATTAGCCATAACTGTTTCCACCTCCAGGGGTTGAGGGGTGCTTTCTACCCCTAAAAAGCGTATTTAGCCCAAAACAAAAAAACACGTATTTAATATTTTTCGGTGTTTAATAAGTGTGTTAAGTTTCATTCAAATCGGTCAGTTGGGTAATGTTACTTGTAAGACTAGCGTATTACTCGTTCTAAAATCGTCAGTAAATGATGAGCAACGCGGAAAACAGAACGCATTTATAATATTGTAGTATCAATATTATGTAGTGATTAACAGAATAATATAACCTATTTGAATGTAAAGATTGAAAGTAAGTTTGGAATTCTGATCAACTTAACACTAATTTTACTTGATGTACAAACACAAATTTCATTGAAGATAGTTTTCAAAATTCATCACTAAACGATGAAGAAAATTTCACATATTTTATAAATTTTATTTTCATTTCCGTCAATTATCGCGCATTTTACTAATGCTTGCTAATATTAATTCTTTTTTAATGACTTCTTATTTATATAAGTCGAAAGTAAGTTAATAACCAAGCGCCATGTGCATTATTATAT